TTAAATATTAATAATTACAACTTGGTCAAATTAACTTGGTAATATTCAAATATTTATTTAAAAGCTATAATAAAAATTAACATTGTTATAAATTGTAATTTTGATGTTGGACCTGTATTAGTTGTGTTTGTGTGGATTATCAAGTACCTCAGACACCAGAGGGTTATTTAGTTTTATGTTTATTTGCAGTGTGATAAGAGGTACTCGTCACTGGCGAAATATGAAAATGTGAAAAAACACGATGCCAACCAAATGTGCGTGTATGCATGTATTTATCTGCGTGAATGAGGGGGTATGTATCTTTGTGGAATATAGAGTTATAATTAGAGTTATATAACCCACAGACACACCAGTGATTGGTTTAACTGTTTATTATATATTCACATTTAATTTTATATATATTTACAGTGTGATAATAGCCTATAATTATCGGCGTAGTATTAAAAACCCTGGAGAGAATATGATTGTGTGAATGTATTTATTTGCGTGAGTCGTTAAATGAGTATAGACACCGGCTGCGTAACTACAGACTGGTTGAACCTGTTAAGATTAATTTAGGATATTTATATTCTATGAGTAATATTCACTCTGTGTGCATATATTTATTGGCGTGAATGAGTGAAAAACGCCTTGCGTAGGTATACGTTATAAATAATTTTAGCGTATTTGTAGGAGGGGAAAGTATATTTTAATTGACTTAGGACATTTTTATAATGTGTGGAATGGTTAAACCTCAAAAATAGTGGTAATAAAAAATACAATATACAAAATATACAAAACCTGAGGAACCGGCCCTACCAGCTATCTGGCCGGGAAGAAAAATTAGAGCTGTATATAATAACAATTTACTTTTATATACAAATTAACTCAATTTCAAACAGATTTATATTCTTGGAATATTGTAGCAGTTAATTCAGTGGTTTATGTTGGTATAAATATATTTTCAAAAATAGGAACGGGAAAAAAGACAAGAAACTGATAAATGCTGACTATGTGATAAAAAATTACAGGATCGTTATTTTCAGCAAAAAATTACAAGGCGGGGAACAGGACCAAAATCATTAATTAGCTGTCAGACTAATCCACCTAAATTGAAAGGGTCGGCGGTTTTCCAGAAAAGACAAGCCGCCCTCGCTGGCGAAAAACGACCCATGACTGGCCGACATCGATCAATTTGTTGAGTAAAGTTTTGGAATAATGGACGCGGTGTTAGCTAAGATTACTTTGTTAAAAGGAAAGGACTTGTTTTGAAGTTGCGACATCCGAGCCTGTAACTGTTCTTGTCTTCTGATCTAGATTACAAAAGTGTTTACGCTCTCTTACGACCCAGTGATACGCCTTACCCGATTTCATTTAAACCATAACAAACAATACGAGAAAGTTTAAAATTATATAAAAACTAAACGCTGAAATAATAATAATAATAATTTATCTGCAATATTTAAATAAACTAGAACTATTCAATACTCGATGAAAAGCATCAAACGAGAATGATATTCCAAACCAGGACCTAATCGAGGACCTAAGTCAAATTTGGGGATCTGCCTTCCCATTTCAAATTAAAAAACATCCGTAACCGGATTTTGAGAATAAAATCATAGTACGTCTGGATAATAATATTACTCGAAAATTTGGAGGTAACAAGAATAAAAGGCGTCATAACAAAATCCTACCGAAAACTCCTCGAAACTGTGATGTAGCGTCAAGCAAAATACAAGAATCAGTGGCGACCAGAAACCAAAACTGTCAGTGGCGACTGAAACCTTCACCGAAATTACCAGACTCAGCAATAACGATTTTTTATCAAAACAAAGCGTACTGCAGAACCTAACGGCTGCACGCTAAAAACATATTTGAAGTTGTGTGCATATTTATTATAAAAGAACCACCACAGCACAATATCTTCTTTCTCTCAACACGACACGCAAGAATGGCACACTTACGTAGAAAACAAACACTTTGAGATGTGAAGATGATCTCAATAAAGATCGAAACGTTGGCACGTTAAAGAAAATGTTTTTCTGAAACCTACATCACACCAGACCGCATCTCACGATTTCTGAATAAATATCTTCATATTTTAAACGTTAATCTAATTGTTACAAAATAATTTCACATAAAAACAATTTCATTAGATGATGTATCTTTCCTAAATTAACATGCATCCGTGCCACCTATACTATAACATCGATTTGAAAGCGAGAGTAATAAATGCAAAAAGGTTGCCAGATTATCCTTAATCTTGCTTAATAATCATATATTTAAAAGTACAGAATAAAAATTGGTATTATTTATTAAATCTAAATATTATAACTAAAATAACTTTATAAATTGTCAGATGCGAGTAAACTGTTGTACATAATTTTTAAATAATACACTCTTATTATTTATTATTGTTCTATCAATATACACACTCTCTTTAAAATTGTTCTCACTATTTTAACTACCTTCGCCTTAATAAAAAGAAGTACAATAGTTTCAAGATAATGTTTTCCCAATATTATTTTTAATATGAATATTTCTCTAAAACCCTGGCTTTATTCAAAATTATTTTTTGTATCAATTAATTGCTTGAGAATTCATTCTTTATAAAAGGTTACTGTCGTAAGCGTTTATTGCTACGTGTGTGGTGATTAGTGACCGTTAATCGATAATTATTCAGAAATCGTGAGATGCGGTCTGGTGTGATGTAAGTTTTAGAAAAACATTTTCTTTATTGTGCCAACGTTTCGATCTTTATTGAGATCATCTTCAGGGCCTGTTTACAAACATTGTTTACATTTAACAAATACATTTAGGATGAGAAAAAGTGAATTTATACAATGCAAAATATTTTTTTTAATTCAATCAAAGTATTTCTACACACTCAAAGTGTTTGTCTTCTGTGTAATTGTGCCATTTTTGCGTATAATTCTTCTTGTTCTCCTATAAAACAGCAATATCTCACTGGCACTATCAACACGACACGCATGATCTCAATAAAGATCGAAACGTTGGCACGATAAAGAAAATGTTTATAAAAACCTACATCACACCAGACCGCATCTCATGATTTCTGAATAATTGTTTATTGTTACGTTTATATTTAACCCTTTGCGATTTTCTTCTCAGACCGACATATTTTAAATTAAATTTCTTAAGATTCAACTAAATTAATATATCATCAAATCAAAAGAAGGAATCAAGAAAGAGTTTGATCAATAGTAATCTTAAGACCTCACGAAGATTCCTTAAACAACGATTTAACTATTGCAGGTCGATCGACTTCAACTGTATTGATCAATAGTGTTAATTTGAACAAACTATCAATAAAAAATTAGAAGAAAATGATTAATGTCAGTATTTTAGAACAAGATTTGGTGCTTTGTTTTCGTTCACTTCGAAGTAAATATTTTCAGACTATTTATTATTAGTTTTAGTAGTACATTTATAACTGTTCAAAGGTGATTATAGTAGAATGATTTCTTTTTTAAATACTCACTGAAAATGATGATGATGAAATGATCACGGATTTTAATGAAACTATTTTTTGGTGATACTGGTCACTGCGTTCTTGCTGTTGGTCTTAGGAGCCGGAAAAACAATATTAAAGAAATTTATTTTAATGTGGTTTTCTGCTTTTTTTGTGCCTATAATTCGCGAGTACTGCATACAAAAAGTTTTTAAAAATGAAATACGCTTCTAATAAAGTAGGCCAAAAACATTTTTGTTAGATTCGTTTAAATTATTCTTTCAAATGCTTAAATAAAAAATTTTATTACAATAAAAATATGCATTTTTGACTGGATTCGTCAGGGCAATTTTTTTCTACGTACAAATTCATAGCTTTCATCATTCATCACTTTTTCATAGATTTAAATTTTATATTATTATAATTAAGAAAAATAAGGATAAAACGAAAAAAAACCTCAAACATTTTCCTATATATCTCCAATTTTAATTTAATTTGAAATGTTAATTTGTTTTCAAATAAAAAATAAATAATAAAAAAAAAAATTTTGTGAACTTTACACTTTTTTTGTTCTTGAAGAAGGAAATATAAAACGGTTACAATATCAAGTTTTCTAATTATTTTTTACTGTAATGAATATGAAAAAAGCGGTTTTACTGTGCGAATTAATTACTATTTTGGTATTACTAAAAAAATCAAAAATTATTTTTCTTACTAATTAATTATTAGAATAAATTCTTTTTTTAACATACTGAAGTGGCTATTATTACTTTTAAATTTAAACCCAAATTAATTTATTTTCCTGTAAACGTGTTTAAATTTATTTTACCCAATTGTACTTTCTTTGTACTAGTCTGTTGGCAACTTTTTACCTCTATTAATAATTCACATATGGATACTAATGTGAACGATAATAAATTGATTCTAGAAAAATTTATTCTTTTTTGAACATAATGGCAAAAAAATAATTAATGTTTATTTTTCTTTTAATGTGAAGTTTTTACTAGTTTTTTAAATTATTTATAGCATTTAACAAAACCAAATTTTGATATAGTAGTAACGTGAAGGAAATCAGAGCTATGTTTGATTAATGAGGGTTTGTACGTACACATTAAACTTCAAACGTTCAATTAATTATCATGATCAACATAATCATTTATAACTTAGATTCCGACAAAATAACATTGATCGTTGCAGTTACAAGTTCTAAATGGCGTACAATAAATGTTTTAATTGACGTTGACTTTTGTGAATGAAGGTATGCCATTTCATAGGAATTCCACGAGAAACGTTCAACAACATGGACCTATGGCATTCCGGTAATTTCAATTGTTATTGTACTCTATTGTTTCTATTTCAAAGCGTTGTACCAAATTCATATCGGATCGTGGAAATTGTTACAACAATAAAACGAGAACAACATTTAAGTGTTAAATGGATTCAAATTGGATTTGCTCGAATGTCGCACTTTTTGTTCTTCGATTATACGAAAACTTAGTAGTTTTTTCAAGTTGGCTTACAGACGCAAAATGATGTTTAAACTGCTTACCAGGATGCACCAGTCCGTTTGGAGAATTCTTGTCCATGTCTTCCAGCTGAATGGATTCCGGCCTGGACGAAAGTGGCATCTTGAGGAACTCCCATGAAACCTCTCGCAAAGAAAACTGCGAAATAGAAAAATTTGTCATTAAATTATGAATTATATTCGTCCTGATTATTGCTTATAATAAATTGGAAATGTAAATTTTTTGAACAATCAAAGCCAAGTTGAACGTTTCACCTACGACTTGGTATAATTAATTAAGATTTAATGACTGTTTTTAATTATTGATGGTTATTTTGGGGGACCGCGGTAGCCGAGTGGTTAGCATGAGAGACTCTCACGCCGCGGTCGTGGGTTCGATTCCCACCGTCGCCTCTGGCCCTTTTTTCCCGATAACCCCCAATTTGAACACACAAGAATTCGTACTATGGCTAATATGCAAGATCATAACCGCACACCTCCCCCACTAATGGTAAAATTTGGTTCATCACATCAAATCTACAATGCACTTGAACGTTCCTGTTTCTGTTCGGGGCAAACAAATCACGATTACATTAAAGTTTGAAGTTCCACCTTAAACGCGCTTAGTGCTTAGTTTAAAAAACTGAGGATGATTACTTGACCATTCAAATTCAAGTTGGATGTTACACCATAACACCCGGTTTAAATCTAACTAGAACTCACCCCGAGCTCACACACGTATTCTATAACTCGGCTGATATTTTAGTATAAAATGCTTGTTTTCTCGTATAAAATGTGTGGTGTCTGTCAGGAGAAGAAAGCCATCAAACAATTATTCAAAGATGTTGCATAAATACATACGTTGATTAATGAGCTGGAGGATAGTTGAACCAGTCAATCAAAAAATAATATACATTAGAAACTCGATTTTGACACGAAGTACAACTAAAGAATTGGAACAACAGATGAACTTTGAATGTGGTTATACCATAGAATATCGGATGTTTATGAGAATGAAAAGTGGCCAATTTTAATTTTTCCTTCAAAACGTGGAAACGAAAATGGAAAGATTTCAAGCTATTTTGACGGAAACCTGAAGGGAAAAGTGATTCTTTCCTTTTTTCATACATATAATTATATTTTTACGTACATGCCCCACAGAAATAACATGTAAATACTTGTACATATTTATATGCATTATCATAGTTAATTATGAAAATATAAAGAAAAATTTCACATTTCTATTAATTAATAAAGAGATAGGTTTTTGACATTTAAAAAAAAACCTATTTCACAAGCATAACTCGAACGCAGTCACCTTGTTCCTGTCAGAGTTTGATGAACAACAACAAACTTGCATTAGTGCCCAATCTTGCAACAGTCTTGCAGCTTCCAGAGTCAGATAATGGATCAAGAAGTGATCCAGATTCTGAACAGAATATTTGTGAGATTGTAATTCCGTATGGACATTATATCTGGACCAATTCAAGAAAGAATTTAGGTAAGCTACTGTGTGACCCTTGCTGTGTAAAAGTAAATTCGATACTATCCTTAACCGTTGGGAAAAATTACCTTGTTTCCCCACCTTTAGGTGACATCCTTCAAGCCTTATTCCATTTCTTTACGGTCTCCTTAGAAAGGTTTTTTTTAATCAAAGATAGCGGATATTGTACCCTACCAGTAATTAAATGTCTTGGCAGTCTTTGCCATTTGAAAACTTCGCATCACTAGATACGCCCTAACCAAGACCAAAACCAATTATTTTCTCTCCTCATTAAGTCTCTTAGCTTATACCCTAATTTTTCACATTTGGCCATGATTATTTTAATTTTTATGAGCATGGCTTATACCGTAGAAATCCTTATAAATGATTACTTTTCTTTGATTCCCTACATGTCGTCTTTGGGTCTATTCATCCAAGTCAGGGACTTTAGAACTGGAAGCTTTTCAGGATGGTTATTTGATCAAAACAGCTAATCGTGAATCTCCTCATTCATAACAACATAACAAATGTGTATCTTGTGGATTGGACTTTGGTTTTTTTGCTGTTTCTAACAATTAACCCTTCGACATTGGGTATATTGTCCTAAAACGATTAGGTACATAGCAGCATTTACACTGTTAAGGCGCATTTTTTCTTTTATATTTTATCGTAAATTACGAAGTCTCCTCCCCCCCCCTTTTTTCTCTCTTAATTATATATTTTAATGTTTGATTTATGTTTGCATGCATTAAGTTTATTGTTATTTTACATATGTATCGGGGATAAATCTTTAATTTTGTTCAAATAATTGTTGATTACGACATCCCTAACGGATTAAGCGGACAAAACAAGAAAGGATTAGCCATTATCGCGGACCCTTGATCCAGAATGAGACGTCGAGAAGGCAATCTTGGAGCAACTTTGTAATACAGAACATCTATTTCCCGTACATCGGCCTATCGATTGCTATATCGATTTCGTCACGTCCCATCGTCGATCCCTATACCGTCAGGGACCACCGCCGAAAAGATCGGGGAATCTACTGTTTATACCGTGACGTCACCAGGCTGTGTTTTCTTTTGATCTTAATCTCATCTTTTTTTTCCTTCTTCGTAGTCGTTTCGTCTGGTTTTCTTCATCATCTGTGAATTCTTCATCATCTGCGCTTCTTCATCATCTGTGGCTTCTTCATCATTTGCGACTTCACATCTTCAATTTTCATACCTGCTTCGCCATTTCACTTCATACTTAAGTTTACTTTATTTTATTATTATTATTTTATTGCATGCAAGTTTATTCGTTAAGTTAATTTAATTCATAGTTAACGTGCACGTCTACATGAGTAATATTATTAAAGTCAATTTTCATTCATTTCTTTTCATTAAAATTTAATAATTTTTCATTTTGTTTCAATCTGGTCAATCGAATACCACGATCTGGTCAAATGATCGTAATTCAAGAAGTTGTTTAATTTTAATTTATATGTAGATCGATAGAAAATTCAATTCAAATCAATAGAAAAAGGTTTATTTTAATTTTATCTGATCTTGTTTTATGTTTTAAATCAAGTAAGAATATATTTATTTTTATATTTTATTATAACAATATATTCTGTCTATATGTATAAAACCATATTATTTGTAGTTTTACCCGTATACATGTGTGCATGCCATATATTCAAATTTTAGGTATTTTTAATTTTATTCAAAAGATAAAAGGGGAAAGGAGAGTTAAATATTCTGGATAACTCAATTTAATAACAATATATATTTAATTTATTCATCTTCTCTGAAATTAATTGAGATCTGGAAAATTAATCCCCACACTGAACCAGTGGGATATTGGGTAAGGAAATCGGTATTTCAAATTAACGAAAGTCCTTCCCCTCCAACATACACATTCATTCTATAACAAAAACCTAATCTAAGTACTCAAAATACTACTGAGGATCCACCTCTACAACTAATATCAAATTATGTACCTACTAAACCTAGCTGTACGTAAACTCGACGTCCTTCCATAATTCAAGTCAATAAATACGTTTGTACAGGTTAGACTCTTTCAAACCATACTTACAATCAATTATTGATATGTCGATGGTCTTCAAATCCTCACATATATATACGTAATTATTGATATTGGTTAATTAATAATTATTATAGTCTTTATTAACTATCAACTAGAAGAACACACGGTCGGTTACATCCATGATTGATATTGTTTTTTATTGCTTTTTTACGAGGGTTCGCAACAGCAGAGGTCATATCAACCCTCAGGATGCCGGTGTTTTTGAAAAGAAAAGCCCATTTGTCAGTATGTCGGGCTCGAATGCAGGGCCGCTGGATTCGAACCCGGGACCTTTAACTTACAGTGATGACCGCCGTGTCAACGCCTAAACCGTTGCGGCCACCGACGCCCCTCCCGATTGATATTGTAATCATTATTTTTATAGGTAAAACTTTTCTGGAAAACTTTTGACATGGCTTACAATCAGTCAATGATTATAATTTTATTTACATAAGAGGAGATAAATACAAGTGACTCGCATTAAAAAAAAAGATCTCTGACCCTTGAAAGAAGCCATCCGAGGCGGAAAATCTTAAAACGGTGAATAACGCACGCAAAAATTATCGGCTTTCCGCTATTCCAGTTCACCACATTTTATCGTCAGACTTAAAAACTTTGCCACCCTAGATCGAGTTTTTTTTGTCCAAAAAATAAAAAAATAAAGCACGTCGGCTCAGCTAAACGACACGAGATCGTGTCAATGCGAATATTTCGTGCACAGAAACTCATATTAAATCAATCAACTGCACTAGCGATTGGCCAATTTTCATACAGCAATTTATCAACTCGCCAGTTATTAAAATAAAAGATTGAGCTCTAAATGTTACACATATTTATTATAGGTACCTGTTTGATTTTTCTTTATTAAAAGCTTTGATCAAGATAAAGCAACTGCGTGTTTATAATTATTTTGATTTTTTACGAAATACCCAAACTTGATAATAACAGCATAGCCTGTGATAAGTTTGTAAAAACGATAGAATCGGATCAATCTGATTGTGCCTGGGTTTTGGGTTTAGCGTTCGCTGCGGCCATGGAAAGGACTCGTACCAGGCATCTCGTGCACGCGTGACCTGGCGGACCAGATCGCAGAGAAAGAATCTAGGGAAGCATAGCCGAAGTTAACGTTTAAGCCCGGAGGGGGAGAGGTCTTCAAACCCGGATCGATGTCGGATGCCGACCAACAGGTGACTCGGAATCGAATTATAAACCCGCCACACCGACTAATCTGTCAACATAAAAGGATCTTCTGTCTTTCTACCGGAATTATCTGTTTAGGAAATAAAAAACTTCTCCTTTTTTTAAGAAGATTTTAATTTTAAGTTAAAACTGCAGCTGAACTGGCAGAAAAGGCAGAAAACATCATATGAATAAATAATTCTACTTTTTTTATGTAAACTTTTGAAAAATTGCAATTATAAGTAAAGTCTTATACATAGCTGAGATTAAATTGAGAGAGAACTAAGGCCACACAGTATGAAAAATATGAATAAAGACTAAAAAATAAAAAATACTGAACGACAAGAGTTGTTTGGCAGTTTTTCGTAACAACCTTTATTGAATCTTGTTTTCATACTTTCAATATTTTAAAAAAATCCAATTTATATTTGTTAAAGAAGATTTTCTCGTGCAATAAGATATTCCTCAAAATATAATTACATTTATTTAAATAATCATTTCACTGTCATAATAACAAAATGTTATTCTCTCTATATTCCAGTTTACAAAAATAGCTTCATCATAATTTATTGAATGTTAATTATTAATTAATAATTAACACGAAACTAAGCTTATTATTGTGTAAAAAGTGCGGTGAGAGTACTTAATATAGTCGGTCATTCATCAGGTTTGAATTTTAATTAATTAAAACTCCATTGAAAAAATTTTATAAAATTGATATAAAAAGAAAGATTTGAAGATTTAGTATTTATTAGAGAAGTGTATGATAGAATAGCATGAACTAGTTTAACAATAAAATAACGGTAATAAAATACAAGCACAGTAGAAAAGTGGCAGTACCCAAAGCCGGTTTTGAAAATGGTTTTGCTTAGAGATGGTAAAAATTAAATTTTTAAAATTCTAAAAAAAAGCCTCAGCACAAACAAGGAAAAAAGGACACAAGCATGCTCTCAAACAATAAAACTGGTCGAGGTGGTTGCGCAAGAAGGCGCACGGGATCGACAGGAGTGACGGGACGGTCGTGCCGGTTTTTGCCGGGTTCCGACTTTGAAGGGGCTGCCTCCCCCCTCCTTGGAGTAAGCCAAAATTGGGGACTTAAGAGTTCAAAGTTGGGTGTCATACTGACCTTTCTCCGTTAGTGTCAGGATGAAGGCTGGAGGCGGCTGGGGCCCCACCACGGGCTTCAATGGGCTTAGAGGGGGACTTCGTCAGTTTAGTGGGGGTAGTTCGCCCCCTCTACCGAATCGTCTCGCCCCCAACAACCCCACGCAATTCAATTCGATCTCTACTTAATTTCGTATTAAAACGCATCGGCTAATTACCGTCCCGTCTTCATCTATGAACTGAATAAAAATCGTCTTTGCAAAAAAAATCTGATAGAGCATTTTGCATGTTTATGAGTTAGAAAAACGTATAATTACTTCTTGGTAAATTATTGTCATGCAGATCGGATCGTTCCAGAATTCGTCATTTCATGTTGTTCGATCTCGTTCTTGTCCACATCGTATTGTCCCACCTGAAAACAACACATTTGAACGGCAGAAAAAATTTAGTAAAATCATTGTTGACCATTTTATAGCTTGTAAAATAGAGCTAAGTTCCTTAGGGGAAACAACTACGCAGCAGCAATAAACCGCTTAACTTAATAAACCGTCATATCCAAGGGTTACCAAAAGTGAAACGGCCGTCGCCAGATCTCCGCGAGCTGAATCGACAATGATCTGACCACCGTCCCAGAATATCTGATGATGTTCTTTCTTTAATTATTGTTCAACACGGCTGTTTATATTATTTATTACACTATAGTACTAGTGTAACTGTTAATAACAACATATTTTATCTCCATTGTTAATATTAGAATCATTTTTTGTCAGGCGTCTCCATTAAATAGAGCAGTGGAATAACCAATAAAACAGCAACCTATAAAATAAAAAAACATGGTAATATAGCCTGGAGGTTCTACCTCGCATCAATATTGCAGGCTTTCCACCTTCAGACTACTTCTTCAAAACGATGGTTAACCTTAAGGGACAAATATTTTACACTTGCAGCCTGTAAAAACTTGTTTAAAAGTATTTTTTTAAACGAATCCATGGAAGAACCGAAAAATTGAGCAGATGACATCTAGAGTGTATACCATGAAATAAACAATTCAATTATGTTTATAGTTATAATTATAAACTTTTTTAATTATCCCTTTTCAGCAATTCGGCTTCCTTCCACTTCATTCTACGATCCGGCAAGTTTTCAGAGTCGTCGACTCCTTTACATCCATTCTAGAGAATAAAACGTATTGGTTGGATGCGTTCCTGGACGTGTTCCAGGACTTTGATATGGTCTGACACCTAGGGATTCTTTATAAACTTAAATACTTCCTGATCATCCCTTATTCCCCTATTCTATAATTATATTTAACTTTCAGCTGCTTCAGAGTGAAGTGCGTCCACGAATAAAGGTCAGATATCAAGCCGGCAAACCGCAAGAGAGAATTCCTGGTCCCATCCTGAATACTATTTATAATTCACTAATTTCGTGGTTCGCTTAACCAATTTATACATGACAATTAATTAAGGTTTTTAGTTGAGATGAAAAAAAGTTAATGGCACGAGAGGGATTCGAACCCACGACCTTCGGCTAGATACTCCGCTGCTCTTACCACCTGAGCTATCGTGACCTCCATCCACTCGGACATCAACTCCCCATCTCAACCCCACCTTATGAGTTTTCCCTCCTTTTGCCATTTTTCGTCTAGCCGAAGGTCGTGAGTTCGAATCCCTCTCGTGCCATTAACTTTTTTTCATCTCAACTAAAAACCACTATTTATAATGCTGTATATCCTACCCATCCCAATATAATCATTATCACCTCTGCACATGACACCACAATTCTGTCATCTAACCCGAATCCTATCCAAGCAACCTCCTACGTCAAAGTTAAAACAAACCAAAGTCTGGTTCTATTCTCTTTTAGAATCGCTGTTGTACTTTCGTTCTCTGTTGATATAAAGTTGATCCGATTTTATCAATTACAATTAATTAAGGTTTTCAGTTGAGATAAAAAAAGTCAATGGCACGAGCGGGATTCGAACCCACGATCTTCGGCTTGATACGCCGCTGCCCAACCACTTGAGCTATCGTGACAACGATCCACTCGGACACCAACCTCCGATCTCAACCACACTTTTTGAATTTTCCCTTCTCTTTGCCATATTTCAAATGTCGTGTAATCAATTTGATTCTCGGCGACAAATGAATTGTCCACGGAGAGCTTTAGTGAAGTATACTTCATTTTAAACTGATTAAATTCACTAGTTTCGTTGTCCGCTTGACCAATTAATATCTTACAATTAATTAAGGTTTTCAGTTGAGATAAAAAAGTCAATGGCACGAGCGGGATTCGAACCCACGATCTTCGGCTTGATACGCCGCTGCTCTACCACTTGAGCAATCGAGACCTCGACCCATTTTTCAAATGTCGTGTAATCTATTTGATTCTCGGCGACAAATGAATGGCAAAAAGGAGGGAAAATTCAAAAGTTGCGGTTGAGATGGGAGGTTGGTGTCCGAGTGGATCGAGGTCACGATAGCTCAAGTGGTAGAGCAGCGGCGTATCTAGCCAATGGTCGTTGGTTCGAATCCCGCTCGTGTCATTGACTTTTTTATCTCAACTGAAAATCTTAATTAATTGTAAGATATTAATTAGTCAAGCGGACCGCGAAACTAGTAAATTTATCAATTACTTCTGTCTTCGTTAAAAACTTTATTTTTATGTATAGTTTGCGCTAGTTTCCTCAATTCTGTAACGTATTTTTCCATTTCTGATTTGGCCCATGAATTGTATTCAATTGGTTAAGAGGGAAAGATCTGGGGATTTTCTACAGGCACTGGTAGAAGTCTTGAAAAGAATTATTTTTGATGGGTTGGCAATTAATTCTCATAAGAGTCCGCCTGAAAAGACGTCGGTAGTTTGTTGTACGAGGCTGGAGAAAATCACTCTCAATAATTTCGGGAAGTTCCTCAAGAACGTCGAATTAGTTTCTCGAAAATATTGAGGCGTACGTTATTTCCACCGATTTATTATAATTTTCTCACGGTAGGTTTTTGAAAGATTTCACACTCTTTGCTATTGGCTAGATTATTCTTGGCAGAGTGCACAGAGATTCAGGGTCTTTTGAAATTTTATCGCAATCTTTTACATCGTGTTTATCTCTACACCTAAGGCAGCGTTGTTTAGTCTTCCGATGCCCAGCAACTTAGCCGAATTTAACAAGTTACTACATTTACTATCGGAGGGACTCAAATTTTGAAATTCGCCATTAAAAAAAAACATGCAGCAAGATAAATTGCTCAATACCGTGAGTACTTATTGTTTAATTAACTTCTTTTCTGTAAATTCAAAACGTCTTTCTTAAAGACCAAATATCGGTCCAATAATCTTAAAAACCAAAACCTTGTGTTTTTGACTGGAATATTGAAGACAAACAATTAACCCACAAGTCTGGGTGAATGGTAAACGGAAACGCAAGGTCAAACCGGATTTTATATGATTTGTTAACTCACTTTTTACAACCAGATCCTGATTGATTTTACCGTTTTATTAAAATTGGGTTCCTACAAAACGTATTCTGTATAAATCATACAAACAGCCAATAACCACTAAAAACAAGATCCAATCAAGTGTTACTAAAAAAAACAATGTAATTAAAAATCTCGCAGTTTCTTAACAATTTATATTATATTATAATTTATATTTCTCTATTTTGACGTCATTCATTTAGATCTTCAATACAAAAAGACCAAACTGACCTTTTTATTTTATCTCTATTTCAATACAAAACGGCTCATCTTTACTAAAGACCCGTGACTAATTATCTGTTAAAATAAAAGGGTGGCGCAACAAAAAGATATAAATAAAAGAGGATCGGATAGAAGCTAACTGTAAATCAATGTGAGTCACTTGAAACAGATATTCCTTAGATTCAGTCTATGTTCCACAACATTAAACAACAGTTTTATCTTTCGTTCTTCCCCTCCCTTTTGGATTCAACAAGTATATTAATTGTTCGTTTCTGGGATAAAAGGAGGCATTTTGGTATGTATGTTGAGACGGGTAATGATGAGTCACTTATCCATTCTTCACATCTTTTTTCATTGTGAGATGGAAGTAATCTACATAAAATTTACATAGGGTACTTGCATGCTATATACTGACATACACTTTTTTAAAGTTTATGTATATTGCTCTCAACAGCTCATTTAAATTTTAAATTTACATCTGTTCTTCTAAACCTTATTTTATATCGTCTTTATGTGACTAGACAATTTTAGTGCAAATTAGAATCGACATGTTAACGTCTTCTTTTCTGAAACAAATTTAAATTATTCATTCTAGACTACAACACAGGAATGACGTTTTCTTATTTGCATTATATAAGTATATATATATAAATCTTGCAATCAACTGGAACTCCGTGTAGGAGTACTCCAATTAGCGTCCACCAGAAGGAACGACAATTTTCAAATTTTTTCTTTTACAGATTTTTGTTTAGTTATATTGATAGCCCTAATCGGGTCAGAATTCATTTATTACAGCAAAATGGATATATACAATTTTCAGATATACACTTTCCATTTTGCTGTCATACTTCCTTCCTTTCATGCCCATTGATAAGTCGCGTCCATCATATACGATTGTCGTTTCCTGTCCATAACGACACCAATTGGCGTCCTGTTTTCTCCGAATCCCACTTCTTGGCCTGGGTAATGTTGCATCCTGTTTCGCGGAAAAAACGTACACACAAAATGCCGAATTTTCTCAATACGATCGGCAATTATGTAATGACTAATAATAGCATTACAAATTATTATTCTTTATTGTTCGTAATTGAATGTTACAATCGTTAAATTTATCCATTTCGTAAAGTTAATTAAATAATAATTATTACAATTAAAATTAATTGTTTATTATTGTAACTTATTATTTACACGGTCTTAATAGTTTTTCTTTTATAACATTTTGTTTTTGTATTTATGGAATTTCGTATTATTATATATATCACAATTAATTAAGGTTTTTAGTTGAAATAAAAAAGTCAATGGCACGAGCGGGATTCGAACCCACGATCTTCGGCTAGATACGCCGCTGCTCTACCACTTGAGCTATCGTGACCTCGATCCACTCGGACANAATTATAAGTGTGATGTGTGATTTCTCCTTTTGCCCACTGCGGCAATATCTCCTGTTATTACTTTTCTTTGGAAACGTTTGTTAAATTTTTTTTCAATTGGTCAGACGGTCAGACTTTGTAGCTCATTTATTTTGATCCTTTTTTAACATTTTATAGTGGCTTTCTTTTAGGTCAAGCTTTATTTTATTTTGTCCTAAGAGCCAGTTTGCTCTTTCGTGCGTTGTCCTCTGGAGTTACATACACAATGGTGGCAATCCCAGTGTAACTTCCATTGCTGAAGTTGACGAGTATGAAATGATGAAACAAGTATGCATTCCTCTTGTAATATTTTAGGATATGCCAAATTTTGTAAAATTTTAAAATTGAATTTGTTGTGTTTTCTTTTTCAATGACTTGAGCAACCATACTAGGGGTCCATTGGGAAGCGATCGTTTTTGCATACATGCAGTAATCTATTTTTGGATTTATATACACTATTTTTATATGTATATACGAAAAAATATTTCGCCTCGCTTTTTGTACTGTTTTGTTTGTTTCTTCTAGGTGAGGTTTTGATCTAGTGTTATGCCCAGGTAATCCTTTATACGATAAAAACGACGTAAACTTTTAACTTCTTTTACAATGATTAAATATTTCAATTTATGATTCCTCTTGGGTACTATACAAGATCAAGGATATTAATCACTGACGATAAGCAAAATAAACACGTACATTTTATTGTTATGATTACAACTTTTTTTGAAGGTTTTGACTTAGGGATTTTGACATGGTGCGTCATTGACACATATCAAATCATAACTTGTTTCTTATAAACTGTTTTATCTTGTAGTTATTAGTTGCAACGGCTTGAAAAGGATAATCGTTAATCTCAGTTGCGTTCACCGATGACCATTACTGGAAAGAAGGCACATATCTGTGGGTAAAGTCGTGAAAACCAGTCTTTAAGAGGGGCGATATGTCACATTCTATTTGCGTCTATATAAACCTGATCCTTTCCTCAGTTAAATCAGTTACTCGCAATGGCAGCCAAGGTAGGTTTATGGACGGCAAACTTGATTAGTAAGATGCGACAAAGTACAAACGTTTGGGTTGCAGACTGTCATGAGTAGTCGCAAACATAGCGTTTTGTTTAAAAAATAATGTCTTGGTGTTTGATGGTTATTATTTTTTTGTATCAGCTAGACTTTTAAAAAAGCTTTAAAAGCTGAACAAAACTTGCAAAAATTGTCGATGTGGATTTGTTAAAGCTGTACATAGCCATGGTCCAAGTAGGCAAAATTTTTGAATTTTTTATAATAAAAAACATCATCAATTAAATTAAATCTGGGACAATTTTCAAAAAATCTGTGATTTTTCGGATTTGTTTGAATTTTAGAAATTAAAAAAAATCATTACAGATATAACTTTGATTTATCTATCAAACTATAATTGTTCTTTGCATAACTACCATTAATACCAGTAAATATTATTTTATCTCAACTTAATTAAAGATTATTCATTCTCGTTCAAAAGTAAAATATCATATAACTTTTTGAAAAAACTGGTAACATTGGTCTTAGGAAATGTATAATCCAGTACGGCTGAACTTAATTAGAAATTCGACAAGATATTATGTTACTTTAAATATAATAGCATACTTGATTATTTTGAACTTTTGTTTGTTTTTTGCAGTTTGCAGTTGTCGCTCTTCTGTTCGGTGTCGCATCCGCCGGTCTTTACGACGGTGTCGGATTGGGTGGTGGGCACTTCGGCGGTCACCAAGGTTTCTCCAATGTAAACCGTTTTTTAAGTAGCAATTGTTATCGATTAGTACGAATTAATACGAAAAAATTAATAAATTTTTAGGTTGGTTTTGCTGCACCTGTTGTACATGCTGCACCCGTTGCAGTTTCCGCCCCCGCAGTCCACGCTGTAGCCGCCCCGGTTGCGAAAGTGGCCCATGTCGAATATGTCGACTCTCATCCATCATACAAATTCGAATACGGAGTCCACGACGCCCACACCGGTGATGTTAAAAGTCAATCAGAAGAAAGAGAAGGAGATGTTGTCCACGGCAGCTACTCCCTCGTCGAACCCGACGGTTCCAAGAGAGTAGTCGAATATACCGCCGACCCCCACAACGGATTCAACGCCGTCGTACACAGGGAACACAACGCTCACCCGGCTGTTGCTAAAGTCGCTGTTGCCGCGCCTGCAGTACACGCTGCTCCAGTCGCCCAAGTAGCCGTAGCTACTCCAACTGTACATGCTGCACCTGTTTTTTATGGTGGTTTCGTTAATAAAGTAGCAGTATCCACTCCTGCCGTCCAAGCCGCACCTGTTGCCAAGTTAGCATACGCTTCCGGGTACTCTCAATTTGGCGGATTCGGTCACGGTGGTTTTGGTGGACACTACTAATTCTTATGTTTTACCAAGCAAAAACATTCTTGTCATACCATCTTTTTTTATTTATTACCATCATTCATAAATAAACATCTTTTGTTAACCTGAATTATCTCGTTGTTTTATTTTAATCACATTTTTTTAAATATTTTAAAAAAAATCCTTTTCATCCTCTCTGTGTAAGAATCCTCGGTGGAAAACGAAAATTCGCTAAATCTTAAAGCAATAATTATTAATCTACCAGGAGAAATTGTAAATAATTTGATAATGCCCTGATAGGACTTTCCATTACAAACAAATGTATGACAATTTTAATGTCTGACGATACGGTGAATTTTATTATCAAGTCTAAACAAAATTTCTCTGATAGATCCTAAACAATGTTGTGCTTATTATTCATACGTAAATGTTATTTTTTATTATTCGTACATTGTTATTATATAATCAATCTACTATTAAATTATTTTGTTATTTCTATATATTTATTTTCCTTGGTTTATATTATACGTGTATGCCCATTTTTGTTTACTTTGTCTCTTGAAATGTTATTTTTTGCTTCTTTTTTACAATCTTTCAAAAAATTAGAAACATAACTAAATAGTGTATATGTACACAATTGTACAATATATTTGCCACGTACTGACTTATTAAGCCTTTTTGGCCATTTCCATTGCAAAAAAAGGGGGAAAGTTGGTTTTTCTTTTACTCACCAATGTAAAATATATTCACTAATTTCGTGGTCCGCTTGACCAATTAAATCATTACAATTAATTAAGGTGTTTATTTGAGATGCAAAAACGAAAGGGTTCGAATCCCGCTCGTGCCATTAACTTTTTTTCATCTCAAATAAACACCTTAATTAATTGTAAAATATATTTTTAATATTTATGTAATTCTTTTATTTTTTTAATAATGAAAGCATTTATCTTTTTCTCACTCTCCCTCACTCACCACTCTCTCTCTCACTCACTCACTCTCTCTCTCTCTCTCTCTCTCTCTCTCTCTCTCTCTCTCTCTCTCTCTCTCTCTCTCTCTCTCTCTCTTTCTTTCTTCATTTAATAAATGTAAATTAATATTTCATTATGACATTTATGTATCAGTACAAAAATCCAAAATAATAAAACCGCTCGGTCTATCTCTAAAAATGGTTCCAAGAGGTTGTTTTCCATTTCACATGTAGGAAAGGCAAAATATAAATATTTTTATGTTACGATTGTTGTTTAATTAAAATATTTCTGGACTAATGCTTACTGTTGTTAAGTTTTCAGAAATCCAATTAGCTCTATTCAAATACTCAAAAATGCTTCAGGTATTCTGGGTTACTATTAAAGAACCTCCTACTTACCCTTCTTGATATCCTTTCGCGCTGTTATTTATTGAACAGGTCAATTACTATCAAACATAATGCTTCTTCCACGTGTAAATTTCTACCAGATGGGTACCTTGGGGTACCTTGTTGTACCATTCTAATTTTCGTCGGCAATATAAAAACTAAAAAAATTATATTTGTTGGTGATATAGCAATAAATGTAATCTAATTAATGTAGAATGGTTAAACTTTCAAAAGTCCTTCTTTTTCACTTTCACTTACGTTCACACCCCTTGGAGCCTAACTTACGAGGCGGGACTGATCTGACCCCTTCCCATTAAACCATTGAAGTGAATGAACTGAAGTTATAAGCACAGTTTTGTACATTGTATTTGTACTTTATTTGACCGGGCAAAATTGAGCTTGTACAAATAAATCCACTGATCAAAACATATTGCCTACTTCATAAGTGTAAGCTTTGAGAATTTGTAATTATTACAAAAATATTATGTATACATAAAGTCTAAGGAATCCTTGAATTTGACGGGAGATTTAACATTTAAGTGTATATGACATATTCATATAAAACATAATATGTTAAAACTATCGTAACGAACATGCCAGATCAATTATTATATGTATTATAGTCATATTTCTAACTTTTAAAAAGACTTTATGTGCACAAAATAGAGCAATTTCAACTTGATACATAGTACCCATAAAAATGAAGTTTAATGAGTTCCGTTCATCAGTGATTACCGATCATTTTCCGCCGCCCGAAAATTTAGTCGGTTGTAAAAGTCCGTAACATTGTTCAATAATTCAATTTTATCGCTCTTTTGTATCGAAGCATTTAGTTATTATTCAGGGTGTTATTGGGAGAACTTTTAAGACCTTTATTAATTTCTCTGTTTTTTCATTAACTATATCTGATTACCATTACGTAAGGGTAAAGAATTATTTACGTTCAAACGCAATGGAAATGACCAATTTTTAAAAAGATATGTAGAGATGAAAAGAGCGTCCATTACAACAATGTACAATGACGAAAATCATGGGAAAACGCAGCGACTCACGAAAACTCCAAAAGCTGGGTTATATCCTATGAAGTTATTGTTGTTCTTTTGTTGGGATTGGAAGAGAATGGTTTATTATAAACTTCTTGTGTCCAACCAAACCGTTAATTTTAGTACATACTGCAATACCTCGGAGTGTCGTTGTTTTCGAAAAAAGACCATTTGTATGTCGGGTTGCTAAATAATTAATGCTAAGCCACTGGATCTTGGCCTTACAATGATGAGCCCCGTCTCAACACCAATTGAAGTGATTAAATTCAACAATTGCCCATAAAAGACGAGCCTTTTAAAGAAGACAACAAGGAACAATCGGTTTATATACTTCTGACTAAATTTTACTGCAAGTAATTGAAATTTTTATTAAATCTATCATCAAAAGACGCTAAAGACTTATTTTAGAACCCGATAGTGGTTTCTTTCCAACTTCAACTCATTTTTAATACTGACTTTTATTGCTTTATATTTAGATTGGGTTAATTAATTAGTTTAAGTAGATTTTCTTTCTTGTTGCAAACTAATAAATTTAGAGTGTAACTTCTGATTCCTAATAAATCGTGATGATCTCTTTTACATTTTACATCAAACAATTTTACTTTTCTACCGGAATATAAAAAGATTTTTAAAATTTTCGTTAGAAAAGTTCAAAATTAATTATTTAAATAACAACTGAAAATTAACGTCTGATCATGGAAGCTTGTAGACTGTAATTCTGTGCTTATCTTTATTCTTATTTATTAATGGTTAAAAAATGTTATTTTCAATCCACACAAAAGGCCCAAAACATTAGAAAAACTCATAATTAATAATGGTTACGAGAAAGTGCAAATAAACGAAGTGCACATTTCTCGTAACCCGTTGTGGGTGTGGTGTTTGATCATGAAAATGTTTTGAAGAACTATTGGAAAGGTAATAACAAAATTTGGCAAGGCCATAGAAGGGAGGGGGTCGAGAGTCCAGAGAACTATATAAAAGGCTGGTCCAGATCTAGACAGTCACTCAACAATCACCATGGTTGCCCAGGTGGGTTTACTTTATTCTTCGACATTAATTACATCGGCGTACTAACATTTGCGACGTATCTTTTCGCCTCAAGAACTTTATTACTAGCATTGTTTTCACAAGTGCGGTTGGAATAAATCTAATAATTTTGTAATTAGTTTGCAGTATTGGCCGTCCTTTTGGGAGTTGCCTCCGCCGGTCTTTATGACGGTCACGGATATGGATACTCCGGCCAGTCTTTCCAAGTTGCCGCACCCGTAGCTAAGGTCAGCATTTTAATTGGGTTTTATTTTCGTGATTAATGAAATGAATATCGAATTAACAGGTAGCTTACGCCGCCCCCGTCGCTAAAGTGGCTTACGCCTCTCCCGTTTACCACTCTGCCCCTGTTGTCCACGCTGCTCCTGCTGTCCACGCTGTCCACGCTGTTCATGCCGCCCCCGTAGCTCACCACGTCGACTACCACGACCCTCACCCAGAATACAAATTCGAATACGGAGTCCACGATGCCCACACCGGAGACGTCCACAGCCAATCCGAAGAAAGGCACGGTGATGTCGTCCACGGCAGCTACTCCCTCGTCGAAGCCGACGGAACCAAGAGGGTTGTCGAATACACCGCTGACGACCACAACGGATTCAACGCCGTCGTCCACAGGGAACACAACACTCACCCCGTAAGTCAATTAAAACTATTATGGTTTCAACATACAATGGGCAAGGATTATGCTTGATTTTCTATAATTGCAGGTCGTCCAGAAAGTAGCCTACGCTGCCCCCGTCGCCAAAGTAGCTTTCGCTGCCCCCGTCGCCAAATACTCCGTCGCCGCCCCCGTCGTCTCCTATGGATACGGACACCACTAAATACGAAAATGCTCAATTCTGTATATAAACATTCTTTTTTATTCAAATAAACATTTTTTATTTAATATTCATGGTTTTACTGTTTTTTCGAAAAAATTGTGTATAATTAATTGAGTAATTATATAATTAACAGTAAGCTTATAAAAATAATTAAAAAGTTAGTATTAACCTAGAATCATACACAGTCGTGTGAATCGTACAGAGCTAAATGTAGTACAATCACTAATAAAAGTGTTTCTGTATGAAGCCGCGATTTGCTTACAATTGGAAGAAACCGAGAGTCGAAATAAGAAGTTTGTGGCATGGGCGATCGAAGTCACGATAGCTCAAGTGGTAGAGCAGCCGCATATTTAGCCGAAAGTCGTGGGTTCGCTTCCCGCCTGTGACACAAATTTTTAATTTTGAAAAAATTATGAATAATTAATTCAGTAATTATATAATTAAGAATAAGCTGATAAACATAATTAAAAAGTCACCATCATATTAATATAGTAAAACATCATGGGCAAAACAAGCTACAGTTTTATCACACCAGGACATAATTTTTTGTATATATACTATAAATATCAAAACTAATAGACAATTAAGAAAAATAAAGTTCAGAGACACAAATAGTATTGATGTGAATAAACTACTACTTGATGTTGAGCAAACGGACTGGAAGATAGTTTATGACAAGACTAAATTGGATGATAAAATCAACTCACTCAAAGATTTAATAACAATCTTTACTACAAACATGGCCCAATTAAAATATTTTCTACAAAAAAAAATCCGGCGCCTTGGATTAACAAAGATATTATAGAATTGATGAAATATAGAGATAAACTGCATAAAACATTTTAAAAAACGAAAAGCGAGCATGATAATATAAAAAGTAAGTAAATAAGAAATGAGGTAAAACAAGTATTGAGAAATGCACGCAATAAATATATCAGAGGTGTATTTGATCAGAAACAAAACGATAGTGACTAATGGAAATATTAAAAAAATAATGGTGTTATTAAAGAAAAAAACAATAAACCATCTAACATCTCACTTAATGAATTGAACAAACACTTTGCTGAAACTAATACTGAAATCGATAGGGAATGTTTTAATAAATATGTAAAAGTAGGAAGAGAATCGAATCTTGCAGAATTTAATCTAACGAAAATAAAAATAAATGAAGTAGTAGATTCACTGAAAAATATTAAGTCAAAAGCGGTTGGGTATTGACAAAGTGCCCATAAAAAATTTACAGTTACTTAAAGATATTATTGCACCAATTTTACTTCATATATTTATTTTTTCTATTAGTAGAAATACCTATCTAGATTTATGGAAAAAACAATTATAATTCCGTCAAAAAAGAAAAATAATCCTATCAGTTGTAATGATTATAGAGGAATTAATATTATACGTGTCATGGCAAAAGTATTTGAAAAATTATATTTGGACAATTACAACAGCATATTACTAGAAACAATATTTTTAATGAATATCAATCTGGATTTAGACCGGGTTATAGGACAAAGGCTGCAATGATAAAGGTTACGGATGATTTGTGAAAAAGAGAAGGGTCTCACTTTTAGTCTTAATTGACTTTAGGAAGGCCTTCGACTCTGTGCAGCATGGTCTATTATTGGCAATTTTTAAGTCTTTACATTTCTCTGTTAGTACGATTAAAAGGTTTTCACCATACTTGATAAACACGTGTCAATGTGTTAAGTATGTCGATGTAAATGTTTCATACTGGACAAGGTTCCTCAAGGAAGTATTTTATCAGCCTTGCTGTTCATTTTATTCATCATCCAATTTTTCACATGTTTTAAAAATGTCAGGAGCAAGATGTTCGCAGACTTCAAGCATATTGTTCAGGTGAGAAAAAACATGCAACTAATGGTTTAAAAGATGTATAATGATTTGAAAAAACTAAACATATGGTGAGAACAACATAGGGTAGCAATACACTATGATAAATGTCAAGCAGTGCTGGCAGGACATAGAAAAAATTTGAACTGTGTAAATGTTAAAAATGTAAATATCCTAATAAATAACTACAAAATATTGCTGGCCAAATCATTAAAGGATCTTGGGGTCACAGTTGATGAAACTTTGTCTTTGCCAGAACAAATTTATCTTCCACCTGAAGTAAAATTACAAATTATAAAACCTATGTTGTTCCCAATCTTCGATTATGCTTGTCTATGCTATTCTAACATAAGTAAAAAAACGTAGAAAAACTACAAAGAACACAAAATGCTTGTATAAGATATTTCTATAACAACGAATACTATGATCATGTCACACCATATTATGCAAAAGCAAAAAAAATTAAATCAAAGAAAGAAGAGCACTAATACTCTCGATGTTCTTAATAAAATTATTAAAATCACAAAAACTATCATATCTGGTAAATAACTTTAAAATGAATAAGTCTACCCATGACAAAAATACTAAATTTGATAAACATAAATTTATATTGCCTAAAATGAGAACTTCTATTTACAATGCGTCTTTTTTAGTAAAAGCAATGAATAATTATAATTAAAACAAGCTATACAATTTACTACTTCTACCACACGTAAAAACGAAACCTGTATTAAAAGAAGAGTTACTGACAAAATGAAATAATAGACAAAAATGTAAATACAATCTCTTCGTGTTATATACTATTATCTCATACTATTATTATTATTATTATAGTAATAAAACTAGAATATATTATGTAGACGAAAAACGAAAATCATGGGAAAAAGCAGCGACCCACTATAACTCCAAAAGCAAGGGTATATCTTACGAAGTTATTGTTGTTCTTTTGTTGGGATTTGAAGAGAATGGTTTATTATAAATTTCTTGTGTCCAACCAAACCGTTAATTTCAGTGGATATTGCACACAACTGGAGATATTTTAAGAGGGTTCGCACCAGCAGAAGTCATATCAATCCTAGGGGTGGCTGTGTTTTGGAAAAAAAAGCCCATTAGTATGTAGGGTTCGAATGAGGGGCCACTGGATTCGAACCCCATACCTTTACTTTACAGTTATGAGCACCGTCTCAATTGTAATGATTAAAGACAACAATTTCCCATAAGAGACCAGCCTTGGCTAATTGCATGGGGATTGTTTTTCCACCAGACCGCTGGACCCATGTTAAGAAAATTGTTGGAACTTGGCTAGGGTGTTTCGCCTAGCATATTCGTTTGTCATTGCCACATTGAAAATTTTACGGGCTTATTAATAAGGGAAACGTTATTTCTCTTGAGGATTGCAAAAACGCAACGACTTCATCGCTCAAAAATCTGAGAAGGTCTGAAAGAACGGATTTGCACATTTCCATGGAAAATGATGACATCGCATGGAACAATTGGTTTATATATTTTTGACTACAAGTAATTGAAATTTTCATTGCATCTATCATCAAAAACGCTACAGACTTGACAGTTTTTTTATCCAACTTCAACTCATTTTTATACTGACTTTTATTGCTTTATATTTACTTTGGGTTAATTAATTAGTTTAAATATATTTTCTTTTTTATTGCAAACTAATAAATTTAGAGTGTAACTTCTAATTCCTTACAAATCGTGATGATTTATTTTACATTTTACATCAAACAATTTTACTTTTCTAACGGAATAAAAAAAGATTTTTAAAATTTTCGTTAGAAAAGTTCAAAATTAATCATTTAAATAACATCTGAAAGCTAACGTCTGATCATGGAAGCTTGTAGACTGTAATTCTGTGCTTATCTTTATTCTTATTTATTAATGGTTAAAAAATGTTATTTTCAATCCACACAAAAGGCACAAAACATTAGAAAAACTCATAATTTATAATGGTTACGAGAAAGTGCAAATAAACGAAGTGCACATTTCTCGTAACCCGTTGTGGGTGAGGTGTTTGATCATGAAAATGTTTTGAAGAACTATTGGAAAGGTAATAACAAAATTTGGCAAGGCCATAGAAGGGAGGGGGTCGAGAGTCCAGAGAACTATATAAAAGGCTGGTCCAGATCTAGACAGTCACTCAACAATCACCATGGTTGCCCAGGTGGGTTTACTTTATTCTTCGACATTAATTACATCGGCGTACTAACATTTGCGACGTATCTTTTCGCCTCAAGAACTTTATTACTAGCATTGTTTTCACAAGTGCGGTTGGAATAAATCTAATAATTTTGTAATTAGTTTGCAGTATTGGCCGTCCTTTTGGGAGTTGCCTCCGCCGGTCTTTATGACGGTCACGGATATGGATACTCCGGCCAGTCTTTCCAAGTTGCCGCACCCGTAGCTAAGGTCAGCATTTTAATTGGGTTTTATTTTCGTGATTAATGAAATGAATATCGAATTAACAGGTAGCTTACGCCGCCCCCGTCGCTAAAGTGGCTTACGCCTCTCCCGTTTACCACTCTGCCCCTGTTGTCCACGCTGCTCCTGCTGTCCACGCTGTCCACGCTGTTCATGCCGCCCCCGTAGCTCACCACGTCGACTACCACGACCCTCACCCCGAATACAAATTCGAATACGGAGTCCACGATGCCCACACCGGAGACGTCCACAGCCAATCCGAAGAAAGGCACGGTGATGTCGTCCACGGCAGCTACTCCCTCGTCGAAGCCGACGGAACCAAGAGAGTTGTCGAATACACCGCTGATGACCACAACGGATTCAACGCCGTTGTCCACAGGGAACACAACACTCACCCCGTAAGTCAATTAAAACTATTATGGTTTCAACATACAATGGGCAAGGATTATGCTTGATTTTCTATACTTNAGCTAACGTCTGATCATGGAAGCTTGTAGACTGTAATTCTGTGCTTATCTTTATTCTTATTTATTAATGGTTAAAAAATGTTATTTTCAATCCACACAAAAGGCCCAAAACATTAGAAAAACTCATAATTTATAATGGTTACGAGAAAGTGCAAATAAACGAAGTGCACATTTCTCGTAACCCGTTGTGGGTGTGGTGTTTGATCATGAAAATGTTTTGAAGAACTATTGGAAAGGTAATAACAAAATTTGGCAAGGCCATAGAAGGGAGGGGGTCGAGAGTCCAGAGAACTATATAAAAGGCTGGTCCAGATCTAGACAGTCACTCAACGATCACCATGGTTGCTCAGGTGGGTTTACTTTATTCTTCGACATTAATTACATCGGCGTACTAACATTTGCGACGTATCTTTTCGCCTCAAGAACTTTATTACTAGCATTGTTTTCACAAGTGCGGTTTGGATAAATCTAATAATTTTGTAATTAGTTTGCAGTATTGGCCGTCCTTTTGGGAGTTGCCTCCGCCGGTCTTTATGACGGTCACGGATATGGATACTCCGGCCAGTCTTTCCAAGTTGCCGCACCCGTAGCTAAGGTCAGCATTTTAATTGGGTTTTATTTTCGTGATTAATGAAATGAATATCGAATTAACAGGTAGCTTACGCCGCCCCCGTCGCTAAAGTGGCTTACGCCTCTCCCGTTTACCACTCTGCCCCTGTTGTCCACGCTGCTCCTGCTGTCCACGCTGTCCACGCTGTTCATGCCGCCCCCGTAGCTCACCACGTCGACTACCACGACCCTCACCCCGAATACAAATTCGAATACGGAGTCCACGATGCCCACACCGGAGACGTCCACAGCCAATCCGAAGAAAGGCACGGTGATGTCGTCCACGGCAGCTACTCCCTCGTCGAAGCCGACGGAACCAAGAGGGTTGTCGAATACACCGCTGACGACCACAACGGATTCAACGCCGTCGTCCACAGGGAACACAACACTCACCCCGTAAGTCAATTAAAACTATTATGGTTTCAACATACAATGGGCAAGGATTATGCTTGATTTTCTATACTTGCAGGTCGTCCAGAAAGTAGCCTACGCTGCTCCCGTCGTCCAGAAAGTAGCCTACGCTGCCCCCGTCGCCAAAGTAGCTTTCGCTGCCCCCGTCGCCAAATACTCCGTCGCCGCCCCCGTCGTCTCCTATGGATACGGACACCACTAAATACGATGCTCAATTCTGTATATAAACACTTTTTTTTATTAAAATAAATATATTTTATTTAAAATTCATAGTTTAGCTGTTTTCCTTCCCGAACCTCCGAAACAAAATTATCAGCATTCAGTGTCTATTATGTTAGATATGTTTTGAACAATCTAAATCTATAAGGGAAAGGGGGGAAATCGGTAATAATAGTATAACAACAAAATCGGAAAATTTGGCAACAATAGCTTGCAATATTTATTATTTAACATTAACAGATACGAGTTTAGGACGTTGCAAGGTCGGTTTTTGACAACCACGTCAAACTTAATATTTCGCAAACAAAAACTGATAACAATCGGTGCGAAAAAAAAAGAGAGAGAGAGAGAGAGAAATTTATTATTTAGAGATTAATTAATAAAATTTGCTTAGTGATCAACGTTGATATCAAGAATTAGCCTGACTTCTTATTAGATTTTAGTTAAGTTATAAAAATGCTTTAATAAAATAAACGAAAACCATATCTTTGTGGTATTATGGATATAGAAAACTGTATGGCTCACTTTAAAAAGAAATTTAGCCATATCTGATCTACGAAGACTCAAAAATCGATTTTATAAAAACGAAGAATTTCAAAAGCTTTTACCATATTGTTGTTCTTCCTCTTCATATTGAACTTCAAAACTGATTTTAATGAATGGATTTCAATGGCTCATTAGCGATTTTATGTTGGTGTGCCTGTTTGAGTCTATGAATTAAAAGGAGAAAGCTACTCCCCAATATGTACCACCCCTTTCAATAATTTTTATATTTTAATATCACGTAAGCTAATTACTCGTGGTAAATCCGCACTGAAAAATATAAATTTATCATTTGCTGTTAAGAAGTGCCAAAGTTGAGGCTTTAGATTAAATATGAGGGATTATCTCGCTCGGTCTGATCAAATGACCTTTTCCCTGAGGAACCAAAATTTTTTTTCCAGAGGTGTCAGTTTTGTAAACAGACGTCGTCACCTTTATTGTTTGAGTTTTCAACACTGTCTGAAAATGCATCTTTGTTTAAACGAGTCGAATTTAACTCTCGTCTTGTTCTTTTCCTTTCCTTTATTTTCATTCACCAGACCCTTCTTATTTTGTTTCCAAGAAGCTTCTATTTTATTTGTCTTAATAATTTATTTGTTAGTCTGATTTAAATAAACTTCACTCAATCAATAGTTTTGAAAACTACCGTTCATTATACATTTTACAAGAACAATGTAATTGTGGTTCCAAACTGAATGATAAAAAATCTTGAAATATATTGTTAGTAACAATTTTTCAATACATTTCTATGACTTTGTTAACTTCAAAGATCTTTTAACAGGGCAGCTATTGGCTTCTCGAGTGTTTGATCTTTATTTATTCTGTAGTATTTATTGTAGTTAGTTGATAGTTAAATATTGCATCTGTTACTTGTTATTTATTTATTAGTTTGTGCCTTCAAATTGTTAGTTTTGTCAAAATGTAACTTGTTATTTGGTAGGTCTGCACTTTTATTTGTTCATTGTTGTTTGTCTTTATTTATCCTTTGTTGTTGTTGTTTTCGTACCGAATTTTTGATTTTTAGTACTTATTATGGTTGATCAATATTTATTGCTCTCGTTACTTGTTATTTATTTATAGCTTTATGATTCTCAATTTCTAGTCATGTTAAAAAACGGAATTTGATATTTCATAGGTCCGTTCTAATTAATGGAGTGTGGACTCAAGTGGAATTAAACCGTGGAAGCTGAATGTTCCAAAACAACGCAAAAAAAAGATCTTTTAACACAATCATATAACAAATTCATTTGAATTGAAGTGTAACTGCAGGTTGTGTTTATAGCTTTGCTAAGTTGCAAACCTAGCAAAATTAACATGGTATATTTTAAAACTGTGCTCGTAATTCAAAAATGAGCCGACGTAATATGTTTACTATGAAGGTACAGACACAGTGAGGACCGCACGGGTAAATTCAACCAAATCAATTATAAAACTGGTCTTTCTGACTTTGGAACTCTACTGTTATTGTCAACATTTCCGTTCATTAATTGATTTAGTGTTTTTCAAAACATACTTAACATAATAGACAACGAATGGTGACAATTTGGTTTTGGCAAAAATTTGGTTAAAACAAGAATTTTTAAATAAAAAATATTTATTTGAATAAAAAAGGATGTTTATATACAAAATTGAGCATTTCCGTATTTAGTGGTGTCCGTATCCATAGGAGACGACGGGGGCGGCGACGGCGTATTTGGTGACGGGGGCGGCGTAGGCTACTTTCTGGACGACGGGAGCAGCGTAAGCTACTTTGGCTACAGGGGCGGCGTAGGCTACTTTCTGGACGACCTGAAAATACAGAAAACCAAACATAATTCTTGCCCATTGTATGTCGAAACCAAAATAGTTTTAATTGACTTACGTGGTGAGTGTTGTGTTCCCTGTGGACGACGGCATTGAAACCGTTGTGGGCGTCAGCGGTGTATTCGACAACCCTCTTGGTTCCGTCGGCTTCGACGAGGGAGTAGCTACCGTGGACGACATCACCGTGCCTTTCTTCGGAGTGGCTGTGGACGTCTCCGGTGTGGGTATCGTGGACTCCGTATTCGAATTTGTATTCGGGGTTGGTGTCGTGGTAGTCGACGTGGTGAGCTACGGGAGCAGCGTGGACGACGGGAGCGGCATGAACAGCGTGGACAGCATGGACAGCGGGAGCAGCATGAACGGTATGAACAGCAGGAGCATAGGCGACCTTGCTGACGTGGGCAGTTTGGTAGAAAGGTGCGCTGTATGCTACCTTAGCAACAGGGGCGGCATGTACGACGGGAGCAGCGTGTACAAGTGGAGCGGCATAAGCTACTTTAGCGACCGGAGCAGCGTAAGCAACCTGTCATGTAAAATAAATATTACTATTCTGCTCTTTTATCCCATAAAAGGAAAATTCTAATTCGACCGACCTTAGCTACGGGTGCAGCAACGTGGTAAGACTGGCTGGAGTATCCATATCCGTGACCGTCATAAAGACCGGCGGAGGCAACTCCCAAAAGGACGGCCAACACTGCGAACTGTCAATTGGAAATAATTTTGAGTTATCTTCTGATGGATCAATTCCATTTTTATAAAAAATTAATCAAAAATGTAAATCCAATTGGAAAAATTCCTTCAATAAAGTTTTTCCTCGATTGACACGATAAACACAATCATAACTGATTAAACAACGCAATATCTTTACAGTTGAATAATTTCTTAAGACTTTTCTTTTAACAATTTATGAATTTTTAATCAAATTTAATGAGAGAAATCGACCAGTTAATACAAATATTTGAGAATTAAATTTGAAGAACGTTTTTTGATATAATCGTCACGAATTCCTGACAGAGTTATTTCCGTAGAATCTCACTGATCCGACCACATGTACAAGATCTGATCACACTTGATGGTGAAAGCGTACCTTGGCAACCATGGTGATTGTTGATGAATGACTGACTTTACAAGGTGTCTCAGGGCTTATATATCTCAACGTGCTGGCTCTGCCCCTCTCATGCGGCCCGCTTGCCAAATTCATTTTTTCCGTCCCAAAAAAATTTCTCAACACACATGTAAATCTGTGCCTGGGGTGATTTGCGTATCAAATGACGGGACTAAAAGCCGATTTTGTTTTTTAAAAAAACACCTATTAAAAGGTGAAATTGTGAGAAAATTAAATAACAATCATTTGTCCAAATCTTTTAACAATTATTTAGTAAATTGGTGTATTTTATTGTAATCACTTTTGCTAAACTATCCTTAAACGTACCAGTTGACACAATTTAATCGGACATTAGCCAATTTAATAACAAACAATTTACACGTATAAAAACAATCCTCTTGCATTTACCAAACATTTTCTTAAGACACAAATAACTGTCATTCAACAATAAAAAAATGTTTAAATGGTGTCAGGCATTCCAGAACGAATGAACGTGCGACTAATGCGACTAATCTTGAGAAGAATCCTTGAAGGAGATTAGAGCCTGAAAATGTAAGCAGCGTTCTAAGAATTCAGAACATTAGAAGCATTAATTCATAAAAAATATTATATTATCATATATTGATAATATTGTTGTTATTTTATACCTTTTTTAGCACCGTTGGAATCCATTGCAAATGACTATAATTTTAATGTAAAAAATTTGTTCGAATTAAAAGAATTCCTGAAAACAAAAAATGTATGTGTATTATTAGTATAGATATCGTATGAATGTTCACCACGATTCCAGACATAGAAGTAATTAATTTAATAAAAGAAAAATGGAAATACAATTGCATACTAATTAGATGATGACATTTTTTCAACATTCTAGAAAGATGGGTAAATAATTTCTTCTTTAGATTTAGCAATACTTTGTATAAACTAAAAGGGTTATCTGGCAGTATGTCTCTGTCCCATTATTGCAGACTTTTTCATTAATGAAATTTTCTATACATTACAAAAAAGTTCAGAAATAAGAATATACTTCATAAAAAAATGACTTATGATACAATTCTTTCGTTGCATAAAGATAATAGTTGATGGAAGAATGTAAAGCATGTATTAAGATATGTAAATAAATACAAAATTACAAAATAGAACTTTACCCTTTTTAGATATAAAAATGAGTAGAAAATAACACTTTTAATACTAATATTTATAAAAAAGCTGAATGTTCTGATAGAATATTAAACTATTTTTCATCATATCTAAGACATCAAAAAATAAATATTATAACCAATAGGTAACAAAAAATACTTAAAATAAGTGACATAATGTATCACAAAGAAAAAATTTTAAAAATAGTTAATTAAACATATTAATTATCCTGAAAAATTAATTTTACAATTAATAAAAAAGAAAAAGTAAATTTTACAATAATAAATACATATGATAATAAAGAAAATAATAATAATGAAAACGAAAAATATATAGGACTTGTATACCTAGAAGGACAGTCAGAAAGAATTATAAAGATTTGTGAATTAATGAATAAACATTTATTAAAAATATACTTATACATTATGCTACATACATTCATTAATCAGGGGAAGTGGCGGGGCACTTTTACGTCCTATTTCAAAAATTTGCCTATCAACGCACCTAGTCCTAGTTTGTTGTTATTTTTAATTAATCAAACTAGAAAAATAGTGGGAAAATTTTCGTAAAAACCCACTAGGTATCAAATAGATAAAGATTTGTAAAAAAAAAGAAAACAGTAGATAGAACAATTTAATTTTTACACATATTTTAACAAGAACATTAATTCTATTCTTCCACCTATAAAAGATAATACAGACAACCTTCTTAAAAACAATGTAGTGTATAAGTTGTGTTCATGTAAAAAAGCATATGTTGGAAAAACTGTACAATTCTGAAAAAATCAATTAAACCAACAGAAAAGAAATATTGTTAATAAAGAAGGTTGTTCAGGTTTGTCAAAATATTTAATGAAACTAACCACACAGTGGATTTTGTAAAAGTAAAAATAATAGAAAAAGATGAAAATTTTGTGGCTAGAGAATGTATATATAAATTTAGAAAATTTATATTAAATTAAAAAAACATAATGTATTAGTTAACTTGTTGACGACGCATAAAAAAACATAATTTTTTTTTAAATTAAAAATTTAAAAAAAACATTTGAAATACCATGGTCTATTGTGTAATTGTAACCTTCAGTGTTTCATTTTCATTGGCATGTAAGTTACTTTTATTAATTGTTAACACGTTGTTTTTTAATATTTGATGTTTTTTTACGAGAGAGATGAGATGTTTGTACAAAAGGGATTTAAAAGCGGCGAGCGAGGCGGTTTTGGGGATTGACGAATGAAGAGAATTCCAGAGATTTGTTGCTCGAGCTAGAAAGGATCGTTCAAATGTGTAAGGTTTTAAGACGAGGAAGGTTTAGGCCATTGGGAGATGATCGAGTGTTCAGAGAGTGGATAGAAGATTTGCATTGATGCAGCTGGAAAATATAGTGAGGTCGACGAGAATTTATAGATTGGGAAGTTGCCTAGGAAATAGTTACTACAGAAGGAGAAAAAAAGACACGGTTTTTTATTTAATATTAATTAATCATTACTTTTATCACACTCAATAGAGAAAAACGATCGTTGCTTTATTTGTATAACATTGCTAAGAATTATAAAATTGTTGTTATTTTATCGAATGAAAGTTATTTACAATAACTTATTAACACGAAAGGCACGTCTTTTTAATTATTTTATTACAGCAAAGATTTCTGAGTGCAGTAGCCGGGAAGGTTTAGTACTGCAGTAACTTGCACAGTACTTTAAAACGAGCTGAAGAATGGGAAAAGGCAGCACCCCGAAATCGATTCTGCAATAAACAAAATAAAGAGTAATAAAGTAAGACTTGTTTACGTCTTTGAAGAAACGTGCTTTTCTTGGGTAATGATGATTAGTATATTTTCTGTTTTTACAGATTTTCAATTTAAAAAAACTACCAATCTACTCAAGATAATACAACGTTCAATTTTACATTTTCTTGTAAAATGTATCATGAACGGATGTTTTAAAAAAAATCAACGGACAGTTCAAGTTTTTATTAGCTATTACAACATTATAAAAGTGAACATTTATTTAAGGTTTTTAGTCGAGATGAAAAAAAGTCAATGGCACGAGAGGGATTCGAACCCACGACCTTCGGCTAGATACACCGCTGCTCTTACCACGTGAGCTATCGTGACCTCGATCCACTCGGACATTCCTTTGAAAAATGGCAAAAGGAGGGAAAACTCATAAGGTGGGGTTGAGATGGGGAGTTGATGTCCGAGTGGATCGAGGTCACGATAGCTCAGGTGGTAGAGCAGCGGCGTATCTAGCCGAAGGTCGTGGGTTCGAATCCCTCTCGTGCCATTGACTTTTTTTCATCTCAACTAAAAACCTTAAATAATTGTAAAGTTTTAATTCGTCAAGCGGACCACGAAATTAGTGAATTTAATGAATTATAAAAGTGCTAATCCGTGACATGCTTAGTTCTTAATTTTTGTAATAATTAAAATTAAATACAGGGCGGTTCGCTATAACATTCAAAACAATTGGGCGATAGTAGACTAGACTAATTAGAGTAGGATGGAGTAAAAATCAGTTTCCAGCTCTTTCCTTCGAGAAGATAATTTTTAAAAAGAAAAACTAGAATCATTCCACTACTAATCAATTTCACAGAGTTACGGGATATATTTCCACATGCCTCGAGCAGAAATTGTTCTCGACTATAGTTGCTTTCGACGAAGTATAGCATAGGGTCTATTATACCAACTAAAACTAGTTTTATCACAGCCATATTATCTGATTATACAATCCTCAACGAAAGATTTTCGCAGTAAACCAGAAATCAGATACTTCTGAAATGAAAGAAGTGATTCAAGGTGTGCCACAAGGGTCGATACTCGCTCAGCTGTTGTACTCGATTTTTACTTTTGACATGCCCATAGATACCTACCATACACTTTACGTTGTCTATTTAAGACTTACATTTGGTAGGAGATTAACTTGTAATCTACGATTACAGAAACAGACACTTACAGACGATTTAAAATGCTTTACAACTTACTGAACCGACGATCAAAATTACCATTAAAATCATAACTTTCCATATAAATATACTTACTCAAATTTATATAGCTGTATGAGTGCCAAATTTCCGGATCGGCCAAATTTCAATAATCAAAGATCGTCTCTGGTACACTAATGAATATGCACTACTTAGGAATTTCGTTACAAATTTTGGATTTCGGCTTTTCGCCATCTTTAGTAAAGAACTGCGTGTGACTAGCATCAAAACCTCCGAGTGTTGGCCCCAGTAAGTGCCCAGTGTCCAGACCAATACCATCAAGTAAAGAAAAAAAATATGTATATACGTACGCCTTACGTAAATGTAAAAATTATCTCTGACATTTTCTTATTTTACAACATGATTAATAATTAACGATATATTGCACATTTGCATAAACTTTAACAAAACTACATTTGCTTTCGTTACTAACAAAAGTATTTGTATCATTTTTTATTTAAGTTTCAATTTGCAGCCTTGGGTGTTGCTGATTGTTTATTTCCTCCAAGGAAAAGTTTGTTCCTCTAAATAGCCAAACGTGTCTTCGCAAATTGTTCTTTATGTTAGGTGTATTTCCTTTTTCTAAGACAAAACAACATTAAGACAATGAAAATATATTTTATTTTGTTCCTTGCCAACCGTAAAAACTAGCTCTTTAATAGTTCCGGAAGAACGAATTTTATTAAGTATTCTTGACAAGGCTAAAATTGAAACAAAACGAAAAATGTCCAATTTCAGTTCAGTTTAAAACCTGAAGAATAAATGTTATTAAAATTTAAAAAGTATTAACAACTCATAAACATATTTAGAATTTAAAGGAAGTCCTTTTTTTGTAAACTTGTACCTTGACAAACGACTGTCTTAGTATTCACACAGTTGACTTAAACGATCAGAACTAAACTTGAGGTACAAAATTATTAAAGGGCTACTTGACAGGCGCCCCAAACAGACAATAGCTAAACAGAAACGACTTTACACTGATAGTACTCACATGAGACTAGACCGACCTGACGGTGCTGAATAAAAAATCTCCAATCCCGAATCCTTCGTGCCATCCTTGCAGGTCCCTTCTACGTCTCGAACCATTCTAAATATTCCAACCTTGAGAATTGTCTCGGATACAGCCCAATCCCGATATATTTGATATCAATATATCAAACCAAACTATCCGCAAATCCTGCCCCTCTCATTAGAAACCTATCCCATCCAACCCTGCAAGAAAATCCCACCAGGCGATTAAGACGCCGATGACCCCGTGTTCACCTGGGTTCGGTATAAGCCCATTTTTGTAAAACATGCCAATTAGGAGATTAGAAAAATGATTCAGTCATCTGATAAACTCACCTACCACAAGCCTTATCTGCAATTCAAATGAATTACAAGATTTGACCCAAATGTTATTCTAATGAAATATTTTGAAAAATTCTCAAGAAGTTTAATAACGTGCTTTATATATTAAGTAACCTAAACCATGAAATTTGTACATAATTCAATTTCAATAGTTTTGTCATATTAAGATGGTATTTATAAGGTTACTCATTGTTTTTTTTTAGCCTATAATATAAGAATTTTACATCAGTGTAAGTGTAAGTAAAAAAGTTTTTCTCTCATGAGTATTTCGTTTTAATTGGACTAATAATGAAAAAGTTTTACTTTTTTTAATCTTTCGGATAGACAATGTATATTTCCCTTGTAATATTAAACATCCTAATTTGCAAGATATCCTACGTTGAAAATTCAATTCCGAAACGTTCAGGTAATTTTTTATTCCAAATTATGAACATGATATTATAGGTGGTAAAAGTGTTATTAAATGTTTTGTTGAAACAGGTTTGATGCAACATTGTTCAAGTAGTAAGGAAATGCAAGTCAAAATTGAATTGTTCTAATATCATGGTGTTACAACAGCGCTAGAGCTGGGTTGAAAGGGTTCGGGATGAAAGGACTTCTTGCGGTTTCGAGGATAAATGGGATTTGAAAGTCTGTGTGGATAGTAGCGTTCGATATGAAGTAGGAAGGATGAGAATTGGGACGAATGATTTTGAATTGGAATTATTCGATTCTTGGAGGTTGTACGGTTAGTTGAACCCCACAGTTTTCCAGATTGGTTGTAAAAATGATATACAGATGCTGTTTTGTAATGAGTTTTCATCTGGTGAAAAGTGTTCTTTTGAGTAGTTTATGCTGTTAGTTCATTTTTTAAATTTAGTGTAGAGCAATGTGCCAACATCCCATATCTTAAAATCTCCAAAGTTCGCCGTTCGTTGTTGTTTGTTACGTTTTTTATTTCTTTTTGTACGTAATTATTAGTTGGGTACACTGTGAAAATTAATTCCAATTTGAAGAAAAAGAAAGATTGACTAGGTCAAACAAAAGTTCAAAGAAACCTGTTTGGTTTAAAACTCAAAGAATGAAAGTTAAATTAGTGGCACAATTGTATAATAAATCGACAGCAAATGCCCTAAAATATTGCAAGGGTACAAAATTCGTCGGGTTGGGAGATGGCGAAGGAACGAATTCATTAAAGTTTTAGATGATCTTTTTGATAACTTGAATTCAAGGAGTATCAAAGGGAAATTTTTAAATATAAAGGAGGAAATAAGTCTATTCTCTATTTTAGCTAAATCAAAAAATTACACACTTGATTTACTTGAGAAAAATATTCTAAAATACATCGCAGAACTAGCAACAATCATCTGGAACGGTTTTTTGGTTACATTAGTAGATGAGCAGGGCATAACGACAAACTAAGCGCGTAAGAGTTTCGTTCTTCTTTCTTAAAACCATTGTACAGATCATTTTTAAATAAGCGATCAACCCAATCAAATACTTTGGTTAATAGAAAGTATTGATAAAGTATGCTTTATAACGTAAATTTAAAAAATATACATATTAACTAAAATATTTTATTTTAAGGGCCCAACAAAATTTGTTTAAATAGTACTTAATCCTACTTAAATATTGTACTAACATTTACTGGTTTATTGTTTAATTTTTTTAAGGTCAAAATCAGCGAGGGCTATCATTGCCTTTATGGAATAGTGCATGGGAATGTGTGTATTGATGTGTGTGTGTGTGTGTGTGTGTGTGTGTGTGTGTGTGTGTGTGTGTGTGTGTCAATTTTGAGGAACACGTGCGGAACCACCGCCAAACAGGGAAAACTCATGGGCTCCTCCGTCTTTAGCTTTACATTTCCATATGACTGACTGTACAGAATTATTTACATATAACCTAAAGGAAAGAGAATTTTAATTTAATTTGTATTCAACTTATTTATATACCACAGTGAAAATCTTTATTTATTCTAAATTTAATAATTTAAACAATCATCCAAGATAGCTGATTTATACATGAAACAATAATAACGTTAAATATTCATTTAGGTCTGTAGAGAGAAGGCGGACGGAGTAAAGATTATAGAGTTGCAAGGAATCGGTACACTTTTCACCCCTCTACACCCTCTGTATTATTCTACACTCTTTGGTCATTTGTCGATAGAAAGTACCAAATAGCTGATGACATTGGTTCTAGAAGAGAAAAAGTGTCGTATAAGTTTGGAGGCGGTACCGCGCAGACGAAGGTTCATTTCTTGAACTATTCTTCCAAACTTCTTCCTATGTGAGCAGTACTGGATTAGGATTGATATTATGATATACGCATTATATACTGAGCGAAGAATGGAGCAAAGTTGCAGCCTTGCAATGCACCTACCAGAATGGAGGTAAATGGAAAAGAAAGAGAGTTACATAAGATTCCGACAAAGACTTAATACCTTTGTAAACAGTGATAATTGCCATCAATCAATAATAATAATAAATAGTGCTATAATTTATGTTGATTGTTGAAGGAAAACCTTTTTTTTAGAATCTTTTAACCGATGTGAAATTCATAGGGGCATTTTTTTAAATATTTAGCTTTGTTCCTAAATCGCTGTTTTCTTAATCTTCTCTCAAAGTTCAATGTTTTTGATTTAGGTCTAAAACGATAAATAATTTCGAAATTTTTCTACTCAATAAGAAAATATCCTGGGCAGCATTGAGGTTAACACTTTAATATATTGTTTACACACAAACATCTATGTTTGTATATGTATATGTCTCAAACATTATGTTTTATTTCTAGTGATATTCGGAGATTAAAGAATTTTTTTGTCAAAATTCAATAAACAGATGCAATAAACATAAATGTAACTAAACGTTTTTCAGTTATTTAAACTTAATTATTATCATTAAATTATTCTGTGTTTTCTGTGGCATGACTTGTCGAGATGCATTCTTCTTAAACCAGGCATAAAAAAGTAAATGTTTAGAATAAAAAAATATTTATTGATATAAAAATTATATATACACAAAACTGTTCATTTCGTATTTAGTGGTGTCCGTATCCATAGGAGACGGCGGGAGCGGCAACGGCGAATTTCGCAACAGGGGCAGCATAAGCTACCTTCTGGACAACGGGGGCGGCGTAGGCTACTTTCTGGACGACCTGCTAATATGAGAGGATCAAACTTAATTCTTGTTCATGCGTTTTAAAGGACTATAGTTTTAATAAACTTACGGGGTGAGCGTTGTGTTCCCTGTGGACGACGGCGTTGAATCCGTTGTGGGGGTCGGCGGTGTATTCGACTACCCTCTTGGAACCGTCGGGTTCGACGAGGGAGTAGCTGCCGTGGACGACATCACCCTTCCTTTCTTCGGTCTGGCTGTGGACGTCTCCGGTGTGAGCATCGTGGACTCCGTATTCGAATTTGTATTCGGGGTGAGGGTCGTGGTAGTCGACGTGGTGAGCTACGGGAGCGGCGTGGACGGCGTGGACAGCGTGGACAGCAGGAGCAGCATGGACAACGGGAGCTGAATGGTAAACGGGAGCGGCGTGTACAACAGGAGCAGCATGGACGACCGGAGCATGAACAACAGGAGCGGCGTAAGCTACCTGTAAATACAATTTCAACATTCATCGCTACATTCTTATAGATACATAAACGTCATTATGTCATCACATTACAATCACTGACCTTAGCTACGGGTGCAGCAACTTGAAAAGACTGGCCGGAGTATCCATATCCGTGACCGTCAAAAAGACCGGCGGAAGCGACTCCCAAAAGGACGGCAAATACTGCGAACTATAAAAGCAAAACGTTATCTTACGAATCATTTCACAAAAAACTTACAAATGTGTTCTTAACCAGAGAAATGATATGGAAAAGAATCAAATAGATTTAAAATAAAACCCTCAACGCTTATCAGTCGTTCAGGTTTAGCATATCTTAAAGAACACGAACAATCCAATTCAATTCTTCAAAATATTTGTTTTAATTAAATCTTTCCGGTAAACTTTCAACAGTGATTAATGTTATATTTTTTATCTAATAGGTTAGTTAAAGACTCTTGAAAATTGGAATTTTTTAAACCATCTGAAGGTTTCTCACCATAGTCATTTTACTACGTAATATAGATAAAATATTGAAAAAACAGATTTTGTTTTGACTGAAAGATGAGAGTAGATAACCGAATCACCAATCTGCTTTAAATTGATACACACCTTGGCGACCATGGTGATTCTGGATTGACTCTGACTTCTGCGGCGTGGCCGACGGTTATATAGGTGGATAGTGGTTGTCGCCCCCACTCGAACGACCTTGCAGATATGCCAAACGGCTTTTCCTTCTCGCTGAAGATCATTACCAAACCAGGGTCGCTGTGCCTGCCGGTTCACTCGTAAATTCGTTTTGCAACGTGAACGGCAAGAATTTGATATGAAAAAGAATGGCGTAACCGTATCGGTGATATCGATGAAAGTTAATACCATAAAAAAAATTGTTTATAAAACTCGTACTTATCAAAATTGAAACAAACGAGAAACATAGCGTGGTGAGTAGCGTATGAACACGATGTTTTGGAGAAAACAAAAAGTTATGAAGAGAAACCCACTTTCATCAAAACTCAAACGATTTAACAGAAAGTGATTGTTACCTCGCGGTTTTATATGCTTGAAATTCGCTGGGGGAAAAAAATTTTGTATTATTTTTGCCTGCGTCTGCAGAGATGCACCAAACAAATGATATATGCATTCATTTACAAAATTAATAAAACCAACAACACATATAGAATACAAGAAAAGAACAATACACCACATTTACATACACACAGATAAAGGGTGTACTGTGAACAGACGTCAATACTTCAAAAGGTTATCCTAATGTAAAATTGAATTGAAAAAGTCCCGATTGTTCAAAGTCTGAAACTTAATTGTATACGATATTTTGCTTTTTTAGGTAACTAATAAAGCGATTACAGGTTAAGTCTGCCTTTAATAGTGTTAATAATTAATAAATATTAATCCTACTGTAAATTCGATTACGGCCATAAAAAGAGCATTGAAAATCCTGTCATTCATTTATTTATGTTTATTGTAACTTTAAGCAAAGAAAATCCAAACCATGTAAAAGATTAAGTTCTACGAGTTTCTGACGCACTTTTCATAAGTGTAAATAATATTTTATAGGATCTGTAAATACAGACAGAATGGCGCTTACAGAAAAGTTGCTCTACTAAAGAGATCTAAACACGTACCACCAACGTCCAAAGACCAATTATCATTTATGTAAAATTAACGTTTAATTTGATTTTTCTATCACAGCAGTTAAAAAAAATTAGTCATTACGATTTTGAAACTTCAATTAAAAATAACGTAAGTAATACAAAGTAAATAAAAAGATTCTTTGGTACGAAATTGAACATAACCAAATGAAATAAGCTCATAATTAAATTAAATCTCCGAAATGTCCACCTTCATTGACTTCATTATCAAAGAGTGTTGTCATTTTGAACATTATATTTAATTTTTGAAGCTTTTTGTTTTTCTTATGTTAAATTTCGTACCAAAAAGTCTGTTTTATTTTCGTTAATTTTAATATATGTTTCAAAATATTTTGATTTTTTAAACTGATTGTAACCGGGAAAAAATGTCGGTAATTGAACGTTAATTTTACAATAACGTTGATCATTGACCTTCAGAGATTAAATACGTGTTTAAATTTTGTTAGGAGCTCGTTATTAGGGGGAAACTTTCCTGTACGTACCAAATCTGTTTGTATTAATAGAGCCAAGAAAATTATACTTAAACTTTATTAAATTCAGTAGTTTTCGCGGTCCGACCAATTAATATCTTTCAATTAATTAAGGTTTTTAGTTGAAATAAAAAAGTCAGTGTCACGAGCGGGATTCGAACCCACGACCTTCGGCTAGATACTCCGCTAGTCTACCACTATCGTGACTTCGATCCACTCGGGCACCAACTTCCCATCTCAACCCCACCTTTTGAATTTTCCCTCCTTTTTGCCATTTTTCGAAGAACTTAAACTTTATGTAGGAAATCAGAAATTCGTAAAAGTGTTATTATAAGCAATTTTTTTTAATTTGGTTGCTTAAGATTACGTAAAAAATTAATTATGATCGCTAAACATATATGGATTAATATAATAGGTATAACTTTTTTGAGGTAAAGGGACTTCATGGACTAAAGTTGTGAAAAGTTGAAGTAACTTGAAAATTGCAATATCTTGAATGTAATTGAGATTCAGACTCTGCGCAATACTAACTTTTTAGAAGTTTTTATTGTTTGTTAAATTTCTATCTTTACAGTCGCCTAGATATTTACTATGCCTGCAGTCGGAATAGGTGTGTTATTCGAGTGTTGGACATGGCGCATGGCGATGGTTAAAGATTATTTGGATACATTATTTTATTTTCATTAATTTTTTCCTCCATTGAATGTTGGAGACAGCTAAGCTTGGGTTTTGATGCGAGGAAACGATAAAGGCATCGTCTGCGAATGTAGCAACGTTAGGATTTAAAGAGCAGTGTATACTGTACATAGCAGAGGACCTAGGATGCTTCCTTACTGTACTCCAGTTCCCTGAAGGAAGAAAAAGGAAAGATATCAACGTCATTTGATTTGGTAGGTAATACCTATCGGGCAGGCATTTTAAGATTAGGAAATAGGTTTCCGGAACAATTTATGCAAATTTTAACGACGTTGTCCAAACCATATCATCATTTTGAAATTAGTAACAGACTATTATATCGAAATAATCATAAATTCAACACATCCTTCCAGATTATCTCAATTTATCTTCGATCTTATGTCTTATTTCGCGTTGTCAGTGTATAAACAAGATTTCGTGCGATTAAGTTAGAAGATAGATGACCTATCCCACCACTAGAGAAAAACACAGAAAATTAACAACAACAAAAGCTTTAAATAATGAGTCAAAACATATATGTACGTCAGAGAGACTGAAATTTTGGTGGGCGGTATATTTTCATTCTTAAGATTTGCATTACATACAATAGTTAAAATACGCTGTATTTTCGCTCTTATTTCCTATAATATTGTTATAATAATTTAATATTTTGATAATATTTAATCAAATTTACTGTAATGCAAGTAATGTTTTGATTTTTAAAAAACTGTATTTTTTAATTGTCAGTGAAATTTTCTTCTGCAATATTATAGATACAACTTTAAAAAAAATTATTTTGTTAATAGGTAGTACTGCAATTTTTTCGCTTTTCATAAATTTTATGTAAGACGGTGTGGCTGAAATGATTAAGTATTTGTACCTTCATTATCCGGACTCTACGAACTGATTTAAGATAATGCGAATTCTTCGTAAAATATTTTCTTCAAAACCTGTCTGCATGTTCTACCTAGATTTTTTCTTCACTAACTTTTACTGTTCTTCACCAAATACCAAGACAATTTTAACAAGGATTTCAGATTAAACAAGTTACTAATTACATATAATCTACCTAGCTTTTAATTGATGATAAGACCCGTTGATCATTTTTTATTTCCCTTTCAATTAAATAAATATTGCCTATCGTATAGTTTAAACATTTGCAATTAATTATTTAATTTAAAGCACATATTAATCCTTTTTTATAATTTTCTTCTTCTCTTCTGGTAATTACATACTAGCATATTTAAGTGTTTTAACCAACGGGCAATTTTCAAAGTTTTTATTCTCTTATTTGAAATGTGTGTTAGTTAATAATTGTATTAATGGATTTTAATCAAATTTTAAAACTACTATTTAATGCTACTTACTCTAAATTCTTTAATTAACACCCCAATTAATGATATTTGTATAAAAGTTAGTAATTCTATTGAAATTATTATCTTTTTGTGCAGAAAGTGTCTAAAATATTTCTATTATACTTTTATTTGTATAATATTACTCTATTATATGGGTGACTGTTTTTGGCCGGAAGAGTTAAATAAACCTCTGCTTGACATAATTTAGTCGATGCCAATGAACCCACAGGTTTATGGTATGAAGGATACTTTAAGAAATTAAGACGATTAAAATAGTGAAAAAATGTGATTTGATCATTCAATATGTAATTTAAACAAATCCTCTTTTCACTAGAAACATCTGGCGTTATTTTAACACATTTAATTAATATTAACTAGAATAAAATTGCATGGAAATTATAAACAAGTTTAAAAACTTCTCGGTCTTCTTGTCTACTTTTTGGATCTTGTTAATAGCAAAATCGTTGCGTTAATTAAGGAAAATGAGCCCGTTTCATATTTTGTGTATTTCTGCAATTCTGAAGAAACTTTAATCTTCAGAAACGAGTCGTTGCGACATCCAATTTGAGGTGAACCCGTCGTTTGGTTTAATGAGTTTTGTTAATTTATGTCTTTTTTGTCATATCTTCTTTATTTAACTTTAAAAAGCCATATTGGTAAATACTATTCTAATTGTAATCTACATTTAAATAAATAACCTTTTCCTAATAATTTCAAGTTTATGTTGTTTTCAAATTGAACCCAAAATAAGATTTTAAGTTTGTTTTTTTTGCCATAGAAACATATTAAAATCAGTACACATATTTTTCGTTTCTATTTTTTTACAAATAAAATTTTGATATAAAAAGAGTTTGCATAATTAATAAATGACTAAAGCAATGTATGGATGTGTTGATTCGTGATGGTGCGAGATTATCGGAAAGGGAGAGACGTTAATATAAATATTTGATATAACATGATATATATATATATATATATATATATATATATATATAATCCATTTATGTTTAGTGGTCTAATTGACCAAATTACTTCGTTCAATTAATTATTCTTTTTTTATGAAAGGTCTTGGTTGAGATGAATTTATTTATATATTTTTATTTATATAACTGCAACTTAATAACTCAAAAATACTGGCTTATCACATAGACATTTGGTCATATTACAGATTTTCTGCACTGATAAGACTGAGTTTAAGGTTCAAAGAGAAAAAACAGTGGAATGCTAGAGGGATCAATTTGAAAACTTGTATAACACACCTAATTCTAAGAAAAGTTCCTTAGATATTCTTATTTGAGCTTTTGAACTGAATTATTATAAATACTTCAATAATATATCAACTAAACGGGGATTTGTTATTTGATCATCATCCAACCGATTGGTCTTCCTGTTCTATAATTTTGGTACCAAAACAATAATATAGCTAGCCAAATAACTAAGCAACTTCATCACTTTCAGACCTCAGAAAGAAAACTAACAATAAAAGTATTTTTCTTATAAAAAATTGTAAAATATAATGTAATTGTAAAATTGTAAATATAAATTAACGAATATTATGTATATTCACTTCACTGGTTGAACTCTTATAACATTTTTAAAGTATAAGTTTTGCAATATTATGTTTTACATTAGTATTTTTATTTATGTTACCATGGTTTCCATCTTATAGTATTGGGGGGTTTAGAATCAAAACTTTTTTTAATTTTTATATTTTTTTATTGGTATAAAAATGGCGACTATATACACAATGAGATACTTTTATGTTTAAAGTATTGTCTAGTCTTAGTGGTGGTATCCAGCGACGACGGGGGCGGCGTAGGCTACTTTTTGGACAACGGGGGCGGCGTAGGCTACTTTCTGGACGACCTGCTAATATGAGAGGATCAAACTTAATTCTTGTTCATGCGTTTTAAAGGACTATAGTTTTAATAAACTTACGGGGTGAGCGTTGTGTTCCCTGTGGACGACGGCGTTGAATCCGTTGTGGGGGTCGGCGGTGTATTCGACTACCCTCTTGGAACCGTCGGGTTCGACGAGGGAGTAGCTGCCGTGGACGACATCACCCTTCCTTTCTTCGGTCTGGCTGTGGACGTCTCCGGTGTGAGCATCGTGGACTCCGTATTCGAATTTGTATTCGGGGTGAGGGTCGTGGTAGTCGACGTGGTGAGCTACGGGAGCGGCGTGGACGGCGTGGACAGCGTGGACAGCAGGAGCAGCATGAACGGCGTGAACAGCTGGGGCGAGGTGGACAGCCTGGCTAGAATATGACAATCCGTGTCCGTCAAAAACTCCGGCTGAAGCGACGCCGAAAACGAGTGCCAATACTGCGAGCTGAAAACATTTTTTTTAAACAATATCCTTTGATTATTTTTGTCATTGCACCTCCTACTGACCTTAGCGGCCATTGCGATCCTTTGAGACCTGACTGTGTCTGTTGACTGATGATGCTAAAGGTGGCTGTGTACCTTTATATACCTCGAGTGCTACGCAACGTCCACACGGCCCCTTTCACTGCCAACCCCTCCTCTCCTTACCGGATGCCCTGAGTTTTATCGTATTTGTGCTTTAATTCTACTTTAACGCGGTTGTGAAATGCCACAGCGAGAGTACTTAAGAGTTTTAATAAACTCTAATATGTTTGAAATGGGTTTGAATCATCAATTTTGTTCATTAATTATAAATGATTGCCTTTTCTTTTTTAATCCTAGAAATGAATTTAGCTGAGCTGTATAGAAAATTCCATTCAGCCGTTTTATGGTTTTGTTAAATAAAAACAATTCCAACATAAAAATTTAAAACTTTAATTATTTACTGATTCTTCAATAAATTTATCTTTCATGATTTTCTTTGTAGTTTTGATCAATTATTATGAATATGAAGAAAACAAAACATAAAGCAAAAAATTATTTGCATTTTCAAGTCAACAACTCTATTTGTATGTTTGTGGGTTTTTTCCGACAAATTAACCCTTTTTAATTTGATATTAAACTTTTTGCATTAAATTAACATTTTTTAATTGCTAATTAATCATTTGTAACTTCAAATTAGCCCTTATTAATTTCAAATTCAAAGAAGTATTCTTTATTTTTATATTTTATTTTATATCGTATTTAATTTTTGTTGAAATTAATTTTTATATAAACTGCTTAGAGCCCAATTATTTTGTATTAACACAATAATCAAATATACAGTAATTTTACTTTGAATATGTTTACATTTCATATAATTTCTTGAGACTTTTTACAGCTTTGAAGAATGGGTCAATTTGAAAATAAATGGTTTCATTTGAAGGTAAAAGGATTAATTTTGAACTTAAATGAATTAATTTAAAGTCAAAAGGGATTAATTTGAAATTAAAAAGGGTTAATTTGAAATTTCAAAAGTTAATGTGGTGCAAAAATGGTTTAATTTTAAGTTAAAAAGTGTTAATTTGAAATTTAAACAATTTAAAAAACTTTAAGAAAGATCTCCGATTACTAGTGGTATGTTTATTTTTGCTATTTTGATCTATCAGGTGTGTTCCTGTATTTTAATATCTTTAGTGGGTGATCTGTGCGTTATTGTGAAAATCCTGTCCTTTTACAAGTTTGCAGATGATAAATGGCCATCTCCTATCACTAGTGGTCTTCCTATTTTCGCTAAAGATAATTTAAAATTAAAAATGGTTAATTGGAAGTTAAGAAATGTTATTTGAAGGAAAAATATTGTTTGGAAGTTGAAAAGGGTTAATTTGAAATTAGAAAAGGTTAATTTGACGGAAAAAGTTGTTAAAGCATAAAAAGTGCTTTTATGTTGTTTTTATTAATTTCAGGTTTTCATTCTTAGTAAATTTTATGACTCAATTTATATACTATGTATATGGACTGTGTCATTTTGAGATTGGGTTTCAACTGATTATATGGTACCTTTTATTATTGTTATTTTTTATGCTGTTCTCACAAGCGAAGCAAGCTTTCATTAAACAATAACGTAGTGAAAGGGATGGAAATTGTCTTGAAGAGAAAAAAGAATGCCTCCAGCCTTGGTTTGACTCGGTGAAGGAAGATGTGTAAAAGTGGTCCGAAACAAGAGGCTAGTCCTCCTACTGAAGGTCAACCCTGGTCCAACCTCCACCTTGAAGAACCAGGACAGTCGTGGAGAATCGTCTCTGCACGTGATAATCGGAAATCTCATGCTCTCTTTTATGCTGTACACTTCTGGAAAAAAACAACTACAACGAATACATGAGGTGTTCGTGATTGGTTACAGTACAGGTTGTTTTTTGTTTGTTTTTTGTCCCCGTCGGGAAAAGTATTCAGTAAAGAACGTTGTACATGAATTATTTTTAGATGCAAATTGTTATCACATAAACGGTGTATGGACACAACTAACTACAATAAAAGTATAGCAGAAACGTCCAACACCAACGTAATAAAAAACAAATTGAGGACAGCTTTAATATGAATTATAAATTTATAATTAACTGTAACTTATTAACTTTACACCTCTCCAAAAAATATCTGATTTAATCAGGAAGTGCGTTAACACTGGATTTTAATTTCTACAAGTGATGGCCTTCCAAGTGTTTGTTTTAATTTATGCCATTTTCATTAAGGAATCAAATAAAATCAGTTATACTAGCTCAAAGTACAGATTATAAAATATTAATTTTGATTTGTTAATAGATAATTATAGTTAATTTATTATCATAGATCAAGTGTGCTTGTGATAGTTCTTGCGGTCTTGTTCGAGAACGGTCGAACTCGTAATTTTGTTGTTTCCGAACAACCTGGTGTGCCGTACCGTCTCTTTTTCGTATGTGAATTGCGTTTTGGTAATCGAATTCTTTTATAGTTTATAAATTATATAAGCGTCTCCAGACATCCAGGTCTTCATACACTGGCTTTCTGTTCCGTCAGACACGTATCAGCATTTTGCCATCAAGAGGTTGGTCTGTGAGTTTTAGCAGTCGTGCCTTTTTATAAATTTTTAAATGATATAAATAACTGTTTAATATCATGCTCAGGCTAGACGCGTTTCAATATTTTGCCATGTTCAGTAGTGGTCTGTGAATTATTGTGGCAATCGTGTCTTTTTATAAGTTTATATATGATAGATATGATCATTAATCACCAATATTCCGCCAATTTTCGCTATTAAGCACCTGTCTTTCTACCATCGCTATTTTAGTCTGTCAGGTGCTCCAGGTCTTCATTATATTTAGAATAGATCTGCGTGTTATGGTGACAATCGTGACGTTTTAAAAGTTTGTGAATGATAAATATGGTCATTGATCACCACTAGTTTTGCTATTTTGATCTGCCACGCATGTCCTTGCACTTTACAATTTTTAGTGGTAGATCTGTGTGTCATTGCGGCAATCGAATCTTTTTTTTTAATTTGTTGATGATAAATGGACTTCTCTAATCAGCAGTGGGCTGTTTTTTTTTTTGTTTTTTTTTGTCCTGAGCATAGGTAAAGCCAACCAACCAAAAATTTTTAGTTATTTAAGAAGTCGGATGGGCTAATTGGATAGTACAATAAAATTTAGCATAGATGCCATTATGTATTTTACGTAGTTAGTCATCAAGCATTTGCAAGAGATCTGACAGTAATGCGTATATACGTAGTTTTACATATTATTGAAATTCATTATACTTAGTGGTCTATTGGCCAAATTACTTCTTTTAATTAATTAATCTTTTTATGTAAGTGTGTGGTGTTTAGTGACCGTTAGTCAATGATTATTCCGCATTCAGTGCCCTCTCAACACGACACACAAGAATGACCAATTGCGCAGAAAGCAAACACCCTGAAGAAGATCTCAATAAAGAACGAAGGTAGATGGAGATATCGAGTACTCCATCTACCAAACAGTATGAGTGCGATCAATGTATATAGGTATGAATGTATTTATTAGTGTGATTGTGTATCGAGTGTGTAGCGGTATTATGTTAGTACTTCGGGGCTGACATGACCAAGCTGTCGGATGCCCCTGTCAAAAAAAATAAAATAAAGATCGAAACGTTGGCACGATAAAGAAAATGTTTTTCTAAAACCTACGTCACACCAGACCGCATCTCACGATCTCCAAATATCTTTTTATGTAACGAAATGAAAAAGTTAGTGTCACGAGCGGGATCATTTATATTATTTCATATATGCATTTAACAATAATAATTAACTGTATTAATTATTTTAATTAATTACACTTTTAATCTAAGGTCTTGGTTGAGATGAAAAGGAAGTGTCAATCCCGCTCGTGGAACTTGCTCAACCAAGTTTTTACATTAAAAGTATAATTTTAAAATAATTATTTATACTGAAGCTGTCTGAAGACTGAAGATGTTTACAAATTTGCACGTAATGATAATGGTGTGAAATATAGAATCTTTTTAAAAATGATGCTAGCCTATTTCTATAGCTATATTTTTTACTAGTTTCCAGTTGGTTTCTTTCTCTTGTCACTTTTGTGTTAAGGTTAGTGTCTTCGTGTTCCAGCCTTGCAAAATCCAAATATTCTTAATTGGTCATGAACCAGACCGGTTTAGCAGTTTGCTCAATCGATACCGGCTCGTTTATGGTCAAGTGGACAGCCCCCTCAGAGCGTCCGTACCATTTTTACGCGTCGCCTTTGTCGCGTCGCCTCGGCCACTCGGTTTTGCCCTCTCCCTTTTCTCTAAGACGTGCAGTGTGTCGATATTTAACCCCGTTTCCGAAGGATAGAGATTAGAGACAGTTCTCGTGAACTTGCGGCAATAATGACCGGGCAGCTTTCACGTAACTTGCCTCTCAAAACCAGACGCCGAGATATTTTAATGCCTCGACAAGGACGAAGCCCTTTATGAGCCGAGCAAGAAGGGAATAACCGGCAACTCTTCTTTCCTACCAAAACTCCTAACGACAATTTTCTTCTTCCAAAATCCTCCACTATTTCCAATGTTACCGCATATGATGAAATAAGATCATATTTTACATTAATACACCAACGCAACAGAAAGTTGGGCTAATTATATAAAAGAATAATATTGGAGAAATCAATAAGATTTTAGAAGGTTGACTTTTCCGGTTTAGCTTCTTTTATATAATAGCAAAAATTTTATTATTTAATTCCGATTTTAATCTTTTAATTTTAATTTAATTTAATTTTAATCTTTAATCCGATTCACTTGAGACACCTATGCCCCTAGATCTGCCACCTAAACCAATAACTCCAAAACAAGTATCACAAGAAATACGACAGCTTCCTAAAAAGAAATCACCTGGTCATGATTTGATAACAGCTGAAGTTCTACAAGAACTTCCCAAAAAAGCAGTCGTCTTTCTGACTTCTTTATTTAACGCAATTTTGAGGACTACACACTTCCCCATACAATGGAAACTTTCTTANAAAAAAAAAAAAAAAAAAAAAAAAAAAATCTTTTAAATTGATTACATTAAGGAAATAAAATTTATGTACATAAAAATACGGTTGGAAAGCAATCAAATTGATTATTGTA